CAGGGCCACCTATGTGCACCCGGTGCAGGTCTGATTCCTGGACTGTGGCTGGTGCAAATCTGTCCAAAATGCATCTTTGGGCTGTGTTTCCAGTCTGAGGACTAAGGCACACTACTGTACCAAAACGCGTCCTATTTTCATTAACCCATCATTTCAGGTGCATTAGTGGCTTTTGCTGTGTAGGATCTTGTTGCTTTTTCCTCTTTCTGTGATCCAGACATGGCACACATTGAGGTTTCCTGGATGAAATGAGCATGCTGCATGTGTGGTGGAAATGTGCAGTCATTTTCTTGGTAGAGGTATGGGGGATTGGAGGGGTGGAAGTGTCCCCCCACCCCTCCTGCTTGGCGCCCTTGCTCAGGCATCTGTTAGGTGGCTGTCCAGCCTTCTCTGCTTGAAGACGCTGAAGCAAATTCAAATTGGCTGTGGCAAAGAGCTTTGCATGGCTTATAAAAGGGAGCAGGATTCTCAGAGGCAGTGCCGGTCTCCTTCCTTGGCCTCTCCCTTTGTGCCTGAGCACACCAGATGGAGAGAGCAACATGTGCAGAGGCTGCTGCCCCCTTCTCTCTTTTCTCAGTGGTGGTTCGACCGTCCTCTGGAGCGAGGGCAGGTGTGCAAGGCAGCAAGGGCAGCGGCAGAGATGCAAGAGGCATCAGCGGCGGGCTCCCTGCTGAGGCGTAGGGTCCAGCAGGTGCCTCATGATGCTTGCCCTGCACAGAAGCTCTGTGGCAATTTTAAGTATGGTTATCGCTCAGCTCAAGCATAGTCCAACTCTTGCTTTTGAGCTTCCTGTTGGCTATTCTGGGAAGTGGGATGCTGGACTAGCTGGGCTCTTCTTATATTCTTAAAGGAAAAAATAGGTCTGTCAATGAATATTAGGAGTGATAGCTAAATGGGATATTGTAGAGTTGGAAAATGTGCAGAAAAGGGCAATTAAAATGATGAAGTGGCTGGGGCAACTCCCCTAAGAGGGAAGGTTACAACAGCTGGGATAGTCTAGCTTATTAAAAGGCGAGTAAGGGAAGTTGCTACAACCCCTTAATCTTTTTGTTGCCCTTTTCAGCACTTTTGCCAACTGTGGAACACCCTTTTTGACTTTGGTGCCCAGAACAGCACATATTGCTGCAAATGAGTCTGCAGAGAGGATTTGTGTAAGGGCAGGATGATAGTGAATATTTTAAGTTCCTTTCCTAACCGTGCTTAATGTCAAATGTTCCTTTTTCACACCACACGGCTTGACTTTTCATCAAGCTGTTCAACGCAACCCCAAGATTTCTTTCTTGGTCAGTCACCACTAGCCCCAGGTTGCATCAACTTAGACTTGAGATTGAGGTTTTTTTTTCCATCCCAGCTTATATTCGCTTCCAATGAATCATATTTTTCCTTTTTGATGCTCCCTCTCCCAGTCTGGCCAGATACTTTTGGAGCTCCACACAATCCTTTCTTTTTTGACATGATGATAGTCAACCTTTTAAATAAATTAAGAAAGAGGAGTTGAAAAATGGGAGTCCTCTTGACTCCTCATCCTTATTTTTACAGGAAGAAATTCTGAGAGGTTTGTGATTAGCTCTAATGGGCCATCAGGTTGGGAATGCTCACACTACTGCTTGATACCCCTTAGATAATAGTCAATCTGATGTGGCTGGTCTTGCCCAAGGCAGAATATCCAGCTGTTTACTTATCACCCCCCCACCCCCCCAAAAAAAACCCCATAGAAAACTTGCCTTTGATATTTGTGACCATAGTTTGGTTGCTCTCCTTATCAAATTGACATTGCAAAATGTTAAAAGAAACCTGAAATTGTGTATTTACTTGACCATTCTGTCCATGGGGAAGATCTAATGGATTATAATAATGTTAACAGGGTGGGAGTGAAGTATTCTGATTTGTGGAATAGGACAGCAGTGAGGTCAGTTGGATTGGGTGCTTCATAGAAGTTAAGAATTTCCAGGATTCAAAAAAAAAATCTATTGGATTATTTGGGGTCTAATGAGTAGTTTTTACGCTGGCTGCAAATCATTCAAAGGTCCTTAATTTCTTTAATGGCTAGCTTTTTAACAGAATGATTGGTTAGTCATAGGTGAGTCCTATAAATAATGCTCTCGCACACTGAGTTTGGAAGTAGAATGGGGCTACTCTGGAGTAAGGGAGTACTCTTTAGGCCCTTTAGCATTTAGGGGTGGGGATTCCCTCGGAATGCAGAAGTGTATTCATTTGTAAATTTAATAGGTCAATTTAAAAGGCAAATTAAAAAAAACTTAGAGGACCTGCTGGCTCTGGTGGCTACAAAACTATCAGCTGAAGAAAGGAACTAATAAAAAATAGATGGTGGAGACTGACCAGCTCAAGCCAGAATAGCTCATTTTAAAACAAGCAAGGCTATATTAACTGTAAGAAAAATTCCAAGACTATCATTAAAGCTGGCACGATTTTTGTAAAATTTTGTTTAGTAAAGGTGTGGATAATTGCTTGTACCAGCCATATTGTGATATTTGCATACTGCAAAGTTAGAAAGCCACTGCTTTGTCCTCAAGGTGTTGTTCTTTTCTGCTAGCATTGGATGACATCTGAAGCGGGCTGGGGGAGGGGGAAACAACACTGTTTTCTGTTTGGACACGTTTGTGACAGAGAAGAGAGAGATGGAAAGGTTGTGTTACCTTCATGAGCCCTAAATCCCAGAGTGTTTTTCAAGCCATCGCTTTCCTTTGGAGTGATTGGTGAGGCCAAGCTTAAAGTGTGCTTAAAGTCATCAAGAGAGAGTTTCCAAACTGTATTCTGGGAGCTTATCCAGAATACTGAAAGGGGATGTTGGTGCACATACCTCTCGATGAGAAGATCTCATTTCCTCCAGAATGACATTTTTATGCCTCTTCCAAAGAGCTCAGAGAAACAGAACGGATTCACTTCCACAACATTTTATCCTCACTGTAAGCATGCGAGTTACACGCTAGACTGAGAGCTCAAGGTCTCCTGATGAGCAAGTCTGAGGGCGGGTTCCAATCCTGAGAGGCTCCATACTGAGCCTTTGGAGTGGGAACTGCCATGCTCTTGATCCGCCTGGGGCTCTGATGGATGGCGCTGTGGAGTGATGTTCCTTTAGGGCCCGGGGGCGTGTGGGAAATGAAAAGAGCTGGGCCAGCTGTGTCCTTTTCCTGTTCCAAGGCCTGCTTTTAGCTGCTCCTCGCGCCTGCTGTCTGCTTCAAGGGGAGAGGAGCAGAACTGAGATAAGGTTCCGCCACTACCCAGTTTCATTTCAGTTCAGCTTGTAGGTTACAGGAGAAAAGAAAAGCAGTGGCTGAATTGCACAAAGGCTGCCCCAGTCCAGAACTTTGACTTCTACACCACACTGGCTTCCCTAACAATGGTAGTCCAGTTTCCTTCAAAGGTTCCTTCAAAGTCTAGGACACATTCCCTTCATGCAGGGGCAACAAGAAACAAGAGAAAACATTTCTTGAATAGAAAATGTGCCTGTAATGTTCAGGTAGCATTCTGCAGACAATGGGGAAAGGGTTTGCTGATAGTGGGCAGTCTTGAAAATCACCATCAGATGGCTAATAATTTTAAACCTGCACTTGGGGCCATTGATGTTTTGTTCCTTTACTAAGTCCTTCCCACTGTGACATCTTCCAGTTGTTTTGGACTCCTCCACTACTGTGGCTACTGTGTCAGACCTTTCACTTGTACTTTTAAAATTTAACAAGTAAGAATACAAACACTTTTAACAGTTTCATGGAGTAAAAGTCAGAGTTCCAAAGACATAAGCCACTGAGGAATCTGAATGTTTTCTAGTTTAAAAGCATTACTGTAACTCTCAAGGTGATTTTCCTTTACACTTGAATATAATAGATGCAAACTTGAAAATAAGGAATCCTGACCACAAAATTGTTTGTATGGTTTGTGCTTTGTAAATGAATCAACTTTCTGTCTGTTCTGTGTGAATATATGACTTGTCCAATTTGCAGCACATCCTCTTCGTCAAGATTGTATACATCCACATCTGAACATTCTTTATAGTTCAAACAGGATAAGTCTGCCGCTGTTGCTATATCACTTGACAATTCAATAATTCTCTCATGAACTTTAATACAATTGATGATGATATTGAGAGCTGCTGTGGTGCTTAGAGGATTGGACTAGAGCCCTGGGAGATCCAGGAACTTGTCCCTGCTTGGCCATGAAGCTCTCTAAGTGACTTTGGGCCAGTCTGTCTAATCTACCTCACAGGGTTGTTGTGAGGATAAAATGGAGCTGTGTATGCAGTCTTGGGTTCCTCACAAGAAGAAACAAGTGGGATATACATGCAATTAATCATAATAATGCATCTAGGGCCTAGATTCTAGGCTTTGTTGGACAGACCCAAGGTTCCTTGCAATAGCTTTCTTATTGTATACCAGTACTTTTTGGCAAGCGCATACAGTCATAGACCTTTTAGAAAGAACTGTTAAGCCATTATACCAATCTATACAGGTGGGAAGTCAGTCCAGCTGTCAAGGAATGCAACCCTTGTGGACCTGGAGTGCAGTATTGTTGTTACTGGGAGACCTTGCAGAAATGATTTACCATTTTAGGAGCTGAAGTTGTTTGGAATGGAGAGCCAGGGAACCTGACTTCTGATTTACAAGCAGTATTTCTTCCACTTTGCAAAAAGCTGTTGCTTGAGCGGGAAACCTTGGAAGATCCAATTGGCTTAACCAGTCAGAATCTGGTATTTTCTGGCTTTTACTGGTTACCTTGAAGGAACATTGTTTTACTGGTCAAACCAGTAGAAGGTAATTGGTTGGCAACCCTAGAAGGAGACAGCACATGGTGGGTGGGAGGGAAGGGAGAATGGCTGAGGCTTTGGGGCATGGATTCCTAGGATGTCATCCTAGGGAAGTGCTCTTCACCTAGCTCTCTGGGTCTATAAGAAAGTGGTGTGTGGTGGCTTTACTGAAGTGCTTTCCCACAAAGAAAGCTGGATGTTTTCCCGAAAGTTCATCTTCCTTCCTGCTTTCCCTTAGGAAACCACCACCACGGAGGAGCTGGAACAGTTTGCCAAGGAGCTGAAGCACAAACGGATCACACTGGGCTTTACTCAGGCAGATGTGGGACTGGCCCTGGGTATGCTGTACGGTGGGTACAAGAAGAAGGACCTAGAGGACATGGGTGGGGGGCGAGTCTGGGAGCAAATTGCTTGTTGTGGAGTCTCATCTGCTCCAGAAACTGTAAATTATCCCTCCAAAACCAGGGTGGGGAGGACGAAGAGGTGCATGATGAGGTACTTTATGGGGTGAGTAGGAACAAGGCTTGTCTCATGGGCTCTCTTCAAGTCAAGAGTCTTACTGTGGACTAAAGACTGAGCTGAATATTTTTCTTTTTGTTTGTATGGGGAGAAGTACAGGACCCTACCTCTCTTTGTCAGTTTGTAGCTATACACTCTCCTTTTTTCCCTTTTTATGTTTTTGTGTTGGGTGACAAGGCATTGCCCAGTAAATTGCCCCAAACCAATCTGATTCACAAAAGTTCAGAACATTCATTCCCCCTACCCTTATTTTAATTCTTCCACAGCAGATATGGGGATTTCGGAAAAGCAGGGGGTAAAGCATCGAGGCTGGCAAACTCAATGTCCTGTCACTTGTTTGTAAGGCTGTGTGATGTGTTACATTGTAGAAAGAAAAGTTCAGAATGGGCCATGGTTATTAAAAGTTCCCTAAGCAATAGGAAATTCAGTGCACAGAAGCCGCAAGATAAAATTACATGGAGGGTGGTTCTTATCAACATCAAGAAGTGGATTATGGAATTCTCATACTTGCCTAACACTTTCTTAAACAGAAATGTTCTATTATGTTTGTACACAAAAGTTTTACAACTTTTTCCCTGTTGTTCTTAAAACTGATTTTTAATTCCCCCATGAAATCCATTGTGTTTTTATTTGATTTTAAAGATTTCGCCGAATTGTGCATTGTACTTTCTGAATTCTAAGAAGCATTAGGGGTAGGAATCCTTGTTGTATAAATGTGAAGAGAGCCTTCCTCAAGCTGCTATCCTCAATGTTTGGTGGGGAACAAGTCTCATCAGCCCCACCTAGAATGATGGGAGCTGTCTCAAAGCAAGCTGGAATCAGGTTGGGCTAAGAAACAGCTTTGTGCTTTGTCTTGGCCTGATTTCTCTAGGCGGCCCCGGGGCAGTCCCTGCTGTCTGTCTTGGTCTCGCCCATCTGTGGTAGATGATAAGTGTTGCCCAAAGGTGCCATTGCTGTACAGGTCCCAGAGTGTGAAATGTTATCACTCAGACCTCCAACCAGTGAAGTGGAATGTGGCTGATTTGATTGGGCAAGTTTTGGTTTCTGTGTCTATTGATTAAATCTTACACATCACCTACCTGCATTTGTAATACAATTGTTTGTAATACAATTGTACCTTCTGACTGATTAACTGGGCATTCACTTAGTCAGTCAAATATTTTAATGGATTGATCTTGTCAATTAAACCATGTTGTAATTCTGATTTGCATTGCATCAAGAGTGTCTGTGAGCCTGAAGCTTAACTGTTTTGTTTCTTTGCTCCTGTTGGGAAGCCTCCAGAAAAAATTGGGAAGCCTCCAGAAAAGAGTTGACCTAGATGACCTTCAATGTCGGTTCTGAGGTTAAAATAATTTGTGCTGGTATTTAATAATGCCATTAATAACAGAAACGTGGCAAGCGCTGGGTACTGATAGGGGTTATTTTTCTTCTTCTTCTCCTCTTCAAGTTGAGGTACTTGGAGGTACCGGATTGAGGCACCAAGGTCCCACCTGAGCATGCTTACCTGGGAGAAAGCCTCATCCAACCCAGTGGACCTACTTGAGTAGACATGCCGAAGGCGCTGCCCTTTCTCACTTCCTGTTCCAGCTTTTCTGATCTAGCCTTTTCCTCCCTTCATGCCTTCATGCAGGGAAGATGTTCAGCCAGACCACCATCTGCCGCTTCGAAGCCCTGCAGCTCAGCTTCAAGAACATGTGCAAGCTGAAGCCGCTTCTCCAGCGCTGGCTTGAAGAGGCAGACAGCAACGAGAACCTGCAGGAGGTGAGCACTCCCGGAATGGCCATGGATGGCGTGTCCCTGAGACTGGAAAGAAGTCTCTGTGTGGGATGCTAAGTCATTATTTATTGCTAATATTATTAAGAAGATAATGGCAGCTTACAGAACTGGGTAAGCAACATAGACTTCCGCCCAAGTATATACTTTCCTGTCCAAAGTATTTATTTTATTTACCAGTATTAACTACCATCTGGGAACAGAGACTCCTGGGTGGTGTGCTGCTTAAAAGCAAATGCTAGGAAATAGCACAAATGAAACCATGTGACTATGATTACAGAAGCTGTAGCAAAAATACAGAGTGGGTAAATATCAGAGGAAGGGAAAGATGAGGATAGGTAGGGAGCAGTTTGTGGAAATACTATTAACATGTACATGTACTTAAAATGAGGTGTTGAATATCCTGCCTGAGGGCTGAATTCCCCTTTGGAGAAGCTCTCTGGCTGCATTCCAGGGCAGGGTGGTGATGAAACCAAAAGGAGTGGGTGCAAAATAACAAAAATACCAACTTATTTTAGCTTTGCGTTGTTACTGCCCATGCTAAGCCTTCTGAGAAACATCTCAATAATCGGTGGGGAGAAGGGAGGACCAGGGAGAGAGAGCGGATGTAGAGTGAGTCTGTTTTGGACCTCAGGCCTGAGGTTCTTGGCTTGAAGTTTTGCTATGGTTGGGAACGTTGCTTAGGAGCATAAATCAACAGTCATGATGAAAAGGTGAGTTTTTGGGGAAGCAGCAGAGAATGAGGTGGTCTCATGGACTTATTTTAGGAAGTCATTTCATTTGTACAGGGCAACAAAGGAGAATGGGTAGAGTTATTTAAAAGATTAGGAAATCGTGGGCAGGTGAAAGTGATAGAGCTGGAAAAGTAGAGAGGATGTGTCAGATATGAATGAGAAAAGGGGCCCAAAAGATAAGGTAGGGCAGGGTTGCAGAGGAGTTTGCAAAGGAAGCACCAGGAGATCTCGCTGGATGCAGACAGGGATGGGAAGGGCAGGGAGGCCTCAGTGACTGGCAAGGTGGACTGTTTTGGTGGTGCTGTTTTGGATAGAGAAGAGAGGCTTGAGATATGAGCGTGGAAGGTTAGAAAGAAGAAGATTGTGTCAGTCAAGAATGGCAGAGGACAAGCCAGGGTTTTTAGGCTAAAGGGACAGAGGAAAGGTAAACTAGGTGGGATTCTGCAATTTATTTATTTATTTTTGATTTATATCCTGCCTTTTTCCTACAAAGGGCTCAAGGCAGCTTCCATCATTCTCCTCCTCCATCTTATCCTCACAACAACAACCCTGTGAGGTAGGTTGGGCTGAGAGTCTGTGACTGGCCCAAAGCCACCCAGTTGGCTCCATGGCTGAGCGGGGACTAGAACCCACATCGCCTGAGTCCCAGTCCCGTGCTCTTGACCACTACACCACACTGGCAATATGGCCATGGGGAAGAGGAGATGGTGGCGGTAATGTGCCATCAAGTTGTCTCCAACTTGCAGCATCCCTATGAATGAAAGCCCTCCAGAATGTCTTGTCTGAGCCAATTCCTCTCAGCTCTTCCATGTTCAAGGCTGTGGCTTCCCTAATGGAGTCATATTTGGTCTCCCTTTCCTTCTTCTGTCTTTGACTTTCCCTAGCATGATTGTTTAGGAAAAGAGGTACAGTTTGATAACTAACTGAACGTGTGGGCCAAAGGAGAGAGGTTGAGAATCAGAGAATACTAAAGTTGGAAGGGATCTGCAGGGCTATCAAGTCCAACCCTCTGCTCAAGTTAGGCATCTCTGAGGCAGGCGGCTGCTTCTTGAATGCCTTCTGTGTGGGAGAGCCCACAACTTCCTTGGGCAATTGGCTTCATTGTTGTGTTGCTCTAACAGTCAGGAAATGTTTCCTGATGTCTAGCCAGCATCTGGCTTCCTGTTCTTGAGCCAGTTACTCCCATGTCCTGAACTCTGGGATGGCCAAGAAGAGAGCCTGGCCCTCCTCCGTGGGACAACCTTTCAAGTATGTGAAGAGAGCCATCTTATCTCCCCTCAGTCTTCTCTTCTTGAGGCTACACATGCCCAGTTCTTCCAATCTCTCCTCATAGGGCTTTGTCTCCAGTCCTGGGTCATCTTTGTTGCCCTCCTCTGAACTTTCCAGTTTTTCTGCCACTTTCTTGAAATGTGGTATCCAGAACTGGACGCAGGACTCAAGACGGGGCCTAGCTAATGCCAAATTTAGGGGATCCAGTACCTCACATGATTTGGAAGCTATACTTCTGTTAATGCAGCCCAATATAGCGTTTGCCTTTTTTCCAGCCACATCACATTGTTGACTCATATTCAACTTGTGATCTACAACATTTCCAAGATCCTTCTCACTTGTAGCATTGTTGAGCCAAGTATTCCACATCTTGTAATTGTGTATTTGATTCCAAGGATGAAGCCAAGGAGAGCGTGACTGGTTGATAGGGTGAGTGTTGGTGTTGTTGAGAGATATGGAGAGGGGCCAGACTGGAGAAGGCTTGGGCAGAGCGAGGTTTGGACTTGGCCCTCTTCAGAAAGGAAGATCTGGGCAAATATGTCAATACCTGAGAAGATTCCAGAACAGGTGATAAGCAGTCCACGTGTCAGCACCTCGATGCTAATGGATGTTCAGTAGAAACCAGAAAGGATTTGTCAGCAGCATGTCCTGCCAGGCCAATCTTATTTCATTTTTCAATCAGGTAACTTCTTTAGTAGATTGTGGAAATGCTGTTGGCGTCATTTGCAGCAAGGTGTTTGACAAAAAGTGCCCATGGCGTGTGGATTAGCAGGTGATGTAAGAGCAGCTGGCTATCAGCGGCACTGTGTGGATCCACACTGGCCGGAGAATTGTACTCGGAGTGCTTGTGAATGGAGGCCAAGTGGAATGAGCCCTTATGGAATTTGTAGATGACCCGAAATAGGATGGCATAGCTAGTACTCTAAGAGACAGAAACAAAATTCAAAAAGCTCTAGGCAGAAGACTCGACCAAAATAACCAAGGTTAGCACCACTCTCTTCATTTAGGAAATGAATAGGCAAGGAAATGAATAGTACAAGGTTTAGTAATACTTCGTCATGAGCTGGCTATGAACCAGCAGTGACGTGACGTGACACGACGTGACAAGAATGTAGTTTTAGGTTGCACCCATAGAGGGTGAATTTCAGAATTATAGGAAGCAATAGTTCTACTCTAGTTTGCGCTGATCAGACCTCACCTTAAATACTGTGTCCAGTTCTGGACACCATGCTTCAAAACTGGTTTTGTTCACAACACAATGCTAACAATAACCTCTGCCTCTCCTGCCCCTCCCAAAAGTGTTAAAATGGTGGGGAATAATTCATATCATGAAAAATAGCAATATACAATAATCACTACTGTGGGAGAAGGAGCAAAAGAATACAAGGAAGGGAAGAAAAAGGGATTAAATTTTAATTTAAAATATGTACATTAATATTAATAGTCCATATATTTGTGGATGCCACATTTTCAGCAGGATTCAGATAAAATGGCCTGTGTTCAGAGAAGGGCAACAGAGTTAATCAGCAGACTAGAAACCCAAGTCCTATAAAGGGAAGAATGAAGTCTCTGAATACGGAAAGAACAGCATTTTCCACGTGCCTCAACTTTGTCATATAGAAATGGATCGCAGCCTGTTGTTTATCACCTTGTTAAGGCATGCAATTATTGGGCTTCAGTTATGGCGGGGTGGACTTATATTTATCTAAAATACTGTTATGCTGCTCTTACTGCCCCCCTCCCCCAGGCTGCTGAGACAACTTTCAGTCAATCTTTCAATCAGTAAAGGATTTCATTTAAAGATCAGGAAAAGCATCGTAATGCCTAGTGCAGTCAGGCAGCGACACCAACTGCCTAGCAAGGTGATGGGCTGCCCATGACTGGAGGACAGCTATCTGTGAGTGATGCTTTAAGTTAGATTCCTACACTGAGCAGGGAATTGGAATCAATGACCTAAATGGCCCTTACCAACTCTATAATCTCTGTTTTGCATTTGTAACTTCTCTTCCATGGATTAAAATCAAATACGAGGCCATTTACAAATCATGCATACTAATAATGATCTTAGTTTTCCATGTTCTCTGTCTTTCCATCACGGTCTGTGCACAAGAGAGGAGATCACAACAGGCCTGCAAAACCTGTAGTGGACAGAGGGATTCCCTCCCGTGCCACAGCCAGTAAGGATGTGCTGAGCAGCCACAGAATAATAATGGCCACGTGGGAAGGGGGTAGAATGGATTGCCATGGAGGGCGTGGCTGGCAAACCAGAGCAGTGGATGAACACTCTGCGTGGCAGCCGATTGCTACAAGCCCCACTGCAACAGTGCACTTCTCATGTTGAGACGGTGATGGAGACATCCAGGTGCATATTTCTGGCAGGCAGCATCTGGAACTGCAGACCTGGGTGGAGGGAGAGAAGAGAGAGCTGGACATCATCTGTATATAGGCGGAACTAAAATATGAGAGTTGAAGAGACGGTCCAAGGAGGGGAAATAGTAGGGGACCAAGAAGACAAGCATGAGAGAAGGCACAGGAGAATCTTCTCACCATGGAAACATTGGACAAACATTCTGATGGCTAGGAGGAGGATCAGCTAAAAATGGAGTTGTGGACGCCTAAGGCATGGAGGGAGACAAGTAGGAGGCAGTGTTCAGCTGGACCAAATGTAGCAGAGAGAGTGAAGGACGATCAGAACAGTTTAGAGATCTCTGGATTTGTCAGCGAGAAGAATGTGATTGTAGCAAGCGGAGTTTGAGCACATTGTGGTGGAAGATGGACTGGTTCACGAATGGAGTTGGAAGAGAGAAAAATCACAGTGATTTTAAAGAGCTCCAGGAGAAGAAGAGTGAAGAAGAGCTCTGGGAGTTTGTGGGTGAAAGTGAAGAAGTGAGACTGGCTGGTATTTCAGCCACCTTAAGTGCCAATTTTTGGTATGGAAAGATGGGGTACAACTCAAAAGAGTATTTAGGATATGACAAGGGGGAGGGATTTGGGGGGGATGGGAGAGATTGAAGCATTTGAATTAGATGATGTGCCAGAGGGAAGGGGTAATAAGGCCCTAGGGACAGGGAGTCCCAAGGCAGTAAGACCAAGGGGTCAACTGGCAGGCTTTGAAGAGGATCAGAGCAGAGTAACCACCCTGTTGAGAGAGGCTTGCTAGGGAGAAGAAGGAAAAGGCTAAGGAACATGGAGGAACAGCACGGAGTGTCTGATGGAAGTGGACTGAAAGGGGGAGGAAAATCACGTCTGTTTCTGCGGAAGGGCGTTGCTTGGTGGAAAGGTGGCAGAGTATGGGGAGCATTGCTGTAGTTGTGTTGCTTGCCTGGATTCACATCGGAGGAGAGGACAGCCTGGAGCTGTTTGAAGGAGCTCAGGAACAGCTAAAGAACTGAGCCAGAGATGGAGGCATCTAGTGCCTCCTTGTGGCTGTGATGGCGGTGGAAGTGCAAAGGATGGAGAGGGTTGCTTTGGCATGGGCAAGGGTGGGTTGTGGTCTCTAAGCAGCGTCACCGAACACCGCTCTCCTCCTCTGTGCAGCAACTCTGCTCCATGGAGACGGCTATGATCCAGGCTCGGAAACGCAAGCGCACCAGCATTGAGAACAACGTGCGGGGCTCGCTCGAGTCTTACTTCCTGCGCTGCCCCAAGCCCAACCTGCAGGAGATCTCTCAGATTGCTGAGGACCTTAGCCTGGACAAGGATGTGAGTGAATCTCTGTTGCACTGTCTCCCCAGGTGCCGCCCACACCTTGCTGCTCCTGGGAGCACAACCCCTGCCTTCGCAAGGCGTGCCCTTTGAATCTTTACGTGGCAGGTTCAGTCTTGCAATAGGGTTCCCTCCAGGTGGGAGTCACCATGCTGCTAAACTGCGGCAGGACACTGTGGATATCGTGATTCCTCTGGGATTGCAGGTGGCTGGCAGACTGAAGAACGTCTTCATGTGGAGCTTAGCTGAAACTGGGGCATCGCCACCAGAAGGCCACAAATGGAAGGTGTTAACAGAGAATAGGCAAGAGTCACAGAGGAGAATCAGTGGCGGCTAGTCCTGATGGCTGTCTGCTAGCCTGAGTATCAGAGGCAGGACACTGTCCTCAGCATCTGGTATTCAGACATTTCTAGAGACCGTTGGATGTGGAGGGTCCATTTAACAACAATTACAAAGCAAAGCCGGTCGCTGTTTCCTCTATGATTGAATGTCATGAGCTAGTTGGGGCAGGTGCACACATCTTCCTTTGGTCAGCCCTGAATCTATCGCTGATTGATTTCATGGGTTAAACCTCAGCACTGTTAGACAAGTTTCCCTGTCTACCCATTCCGGGCGTTCTATAATTTGTAAATCTCCATCCTCTCTCCTTTTAAATGATATTTTCCACTCTAAGCTACCAATTCATAAAATTCTTGATCCTTTCATGTTGGAAAGGTGCCACAACTTTTTGATTTATATTTTAATGGCCGTTCCCTGTACTTTCTGGGGGTGTTTCCTCCTTCTCCAAGAGAATACTATAAGGATATGACACAACACTCTTAACTGTGCCCCTGTCTTAGCTTTTTATATGCTAGCACTATTGCTATTTGCTGGTTTAAAGTTTCAGCTGTTTTTGAATTGGCCTGTTTCATTACTACAGGCACCCCTGTAGACAGGAATGGCCTGGTGGACCTTCTTGACTTAGTCTTCCAAAGGGTTTTACAAGGTCCCTCATCAAAAACTTTTGAGCAGACTTGGTAGTTCTTGAATAAGAGGGGAGGTCCTGTTATGAATCAGCAATTGATCAAAGCATAGCAAGCAGAGAGTAAGAATAAGTAAATATGTTCCCAACAGAGGTATGCAAACGGCAGGGTCCCTGAAGAATCTGTTGGGACTGGTGCTTTTTGGCTTGTTCATAAATGATCTGAGGTTAAGAGTGTGCGATCAGGTAGCTAAATTTGCTGACAATGCTAAATATTTAGGATGTTGAAACAAAAAGGGGGCAGGAGAGCTCTCCAAAAGGATTGCTCCAAACTGGGGGGTGGAGAGTAAAATTGCAAGTGGAATTCAGGGTAAGCAAGTGTAAAAGGTCCCAACTTTGTGTACGTACGGATGGGAACCGAGCTGGAGGTAACTGAGAAAGAGATCCTGGGGTTCTAGCAGATAGCTTGATGGAAATGTTGATTCCATGTGCAGCCGCTATGAGAGAGGTACATTCCATGTTGGACATAATTAGAAAAGGAATAAACATAAAACTGCTGATATATATAAATATATTTACATATAAATATAAGGTGTGAGCACACTTGGAATACTGCATATAATCCTGACCAATGTGTCCAAAAAGGGCATTGCAGAGTTGGAAAAGCAGCAGAAAAGGGCAACTGTGATGCGCGAGAGGCTGGAGCAATTTCCCTACGCGAAGAGGACAGAACATCTGGAATTGTTTAATGTAGAAAGAAATAAGGAAAGACGTGATTGAGGTGCACAACATTATGCACGGTGTGCAGAAAGTGGCCAGGGAGATATTTTTCTCCCTTTCTCATAAGATTAGTACCCAAAGAGGTCCTCCCATGATGCTGATTGGTAGAAGATTCAGAGCAGATGAAAGGAAGGACTTCACATGGTGTGTGTGGTTAAACTAGGACACCAGGCAAGTACATGGAAGAGAAAGCAACTACGGTCCACTTGTCATGAGGGGTTTTATATTACTTCTATATTCAGAGGAAGTATAAGCTCCACGTATCAGTCAGTTGCTGGGGAACATAAGGGGGGTGTTATGTCCGATTTTTTAAAATAATTATTTTTACCGTAAATCTCAACAAAACTATAAGAAAAGGAAGCAATAAATGAATCTGTGTGAATTTGGAAATATCATGGACATACGTACATGGCTATCCGGTGTGCCTTTGTTGCAGTTTATTATCTCCAAAAAGCTGTCTTTTCTCACAGTGTGTGTGTGTGTGTGTGTGTGTGTCCACTTTGGGACTGTGAAGAGGCTGTGATGTGGCCACAGTGAACACATGCTAGATTAGGCAGCCTTGGTCTGATTCAGCAGGGATGATTTCTGGGGAGTTGTAACTAATTTAGACCCCAGCAGCAGTATGTGTAGCATCTGGGTGAGTGCAGGACGTGTGCCTCCAAATCAGGAAACCTGTTAATACTCAAATGTCGCTCGCTCTTGAATGTCAGAGCACTCAGACAGTGGCATGAGAGGGCGATCTCCGTTTGGGATACGCAGGAATGTTCGCAGGAATCTGTGTGCATATAAAGACGTCTCATTTTCTTGTGGCTTCTGAGGTTACGAGTAGTTAGGCCAGGAGGTGAGCAAGGCACACAGGACCCCTTGAAGGGAGGTGCAGGCCCAACCCGCCCTGCCCAGCTTCCTGAGCCCGTCCAGGGTGGGACTGAAGGCATATAGCTGGGCTCTTGCGTCCGCTTTCCTGCCGGATAATTCCCAAAGAAGGGGCTACCAATCACTCTGGGCATGAGCTGTGAGGGGAAGTGGAGAGAAGGTCTGCAGGGGAGTATCGGCACGTGTGTGGAGAGGGCAGGAGTCACTTGGCAATAACACCTGTGTGTCTGTGTGCCCCCCCCCCCATCCCCTTGCCCTTTGCAGGTCGTCCGTGTCTGGTTCTGCAATCGTCGCCAGAAGGGCAAGCGCAACGTAGGAGCTGGCGCTCGGGATGACTGCGATGGCCCTGCGCTACCAGCGCACTTCTCCCATGGCTCCCTCCAAGCCCCGCCACCCGGGCTCAGTGCTGCCCACCACCAGCTACCCCCGGCGCCCCAGGGCTACAATACAGCTGCCTTCGCCACTCTTTACCTGCCCCAGTTTCATGACGGGGACTCCTTTGTCCCTTCCACATCCAGCTCTGCCGTCATGGGCCACCCTATGCATTCAAGCTGAAGTGCCCTTTAAGCAAGCCTCTCCCACATCTTTAATCAAGAGGACATCCTCCAGCCACCTTCTGCTTCTTAACTTCCTTTTTCTTTAATCAGGGTAATCTTTAGGAAGGGGAGAGGGTCTTGTATGTGTCCTCTCCTTGCTTTTTAAATCAGGGATGCCGGTTTTCTGTGATACTCCACTTCTGATTATGATTTTCATTGTGATTCTTACAACTGGGCTTTTCCTATATTGGGCTTTTCCTTCTAAGAGCCACTGTCATTTTTAAAAAATATTCCTCGGGGCACAGACCTCATTAACTCCCAGCTGGAGGGCATAGGACTTTGTTTCCTAGAGCCATTGACACCTGCTGATATCTCCATCACAGGAGCAAATCTGTAATCTGTGAGGAAATTGCAATTCAGACACGTTTCTCCTGTCCTGTCCAAGAATGAAAGCACCAAGAGTCTCCAGGAGCCTAAGCATAATCTGGCTCGAACACATTTTAAGTATCAGTCTCCAACGGGCATGGGAAATTTTTTAGCTTTTTTTTAGTACATGTAAAACAGATAAGTTGAGAATAGGAAGTGCAACCAATGTGTGCTGCCTTTGAAGACACACCAGCTGGGACAGAATCTATGGATTCATGTCGTCCTTCCTTTCTGCTAAATATTGCCAATTGATCTATGTAACAAGAGGGCAGGTCTTCTGGTCTTTTGGACTTTCAGCTCCCAGCATTCCCAACCCTTGACCAGACTACAAGTGGCTTCTGGGAGTTGAAGTCCCAAACATCTGCCTTCTTCCCACACCTAGTCTAGAATATCTGCATGGCTTCCTAAAAATATGATGCAGGGTATTTAAAGCAGTGTCTTCCTCCATTGGTTTAGGCTTTTAAAAATCCCTTTTTAACGTGCCACACTGAACAGTTGTTGCAGGCATCTGAAACAATGCTTTTAAGAGAAATTTTAAATTCAGCAGGATCTCCTCTTTACTCCCTTCCCCACTTCTTTGACTTGAATACCTACCTATCGGTATTAACTATTGTTTCTAGTGTGGGAGAGGAATGGTGGTTGTAATGTGTTTTTTTAAAATCATAATTATTTGGTCTCTGTATTTGATTTAAGTTTCATAATGTGCTCTTGGCACTCTTAGTTGTATGCATGACATTTCTCATAAGAGACCCCTATTAAAATTTGCTAACCATACTTTGCCTCTGTGCCTTTGTGTTTGGGAAAGCAGAATACTTATTGCTAGATTTGCATTAATATACTGACCACAGTTAGCCATCCATGTATTTCACAGTTTTCATAGTCAGTACCATCCCCTGTTGTCTCCAAACAGAAATAAGCAGTGTAGAGAAAGAGGAACTAAAGAGCCTTTTGATGCAAGTGAAGGAGGAGAGTGCAAAAGTTGGCTTGAAACGCAACATCAAGAAAACTAAGATCATGGCATCCGGTCCTCTCACTTCCTGGCAAATAGATGGGGAAGAAATGGAGGTAGTGACAGATTTTATTGTCCTGGGCTCCAAGATCACCGCAGACATGGACTGCAGCCAAGAAATTAAAAGACGCTTGCTCCTGGGGAGGAAAGTTATGGCAAATCTAGACAGCATACTAAAAAGCAGAGACATCACCCTGCCAACAAAAGTGCATATAGTCAAGGCTATGGTTTTCCCAGTTGCGATGTATGGCTGTGAAAGCTGGACCATAAGGAAGGCTGAGCACCAAAGGATTGAGGCCTTTGAATTGTGGTGCTGGAGGAGACTCCTGCGAGTCCCCTGGACTGCAAGACCATCAAACCAATGAGTCCTAGAGGAGGTCAACCCTGACTGCTCTTTAGAAGGCCAGATCCTGAAGATGAAACTCAAATACTTTGGCCACCTAATGAGAAGGAAGGACTCCCTGGAGAAGAGCCTAATGCTGGGAACAATAGATGGCAAAAGGAGGAGGATGAAGTGGCTAGATGGAGTCACTGAAGCAGTTGGTGTGAGCTTGGGTGGACTCCAGAGGATGGTGGAGGACAGGCAGGCCTAGAGGAATGTTGTCCATGGGGTCATGATGGGTCGGACACAACTTCATGACTAACAACAACCACCACTACTTTTGCAAGTCTGCCTGTGTTCCTTTGCTTTGTTCAGAATAGCTTTGAGACGGAAATGAGAGGTAGTGTTAAATGAGGAATAAGGAGACTTTACCATGGTGGCATCACCACCTTTCACCTGGTTAAGTAGGGGATATTCTCCCAGCTTCAAGGGTGTGTTAGCATTTATCTCTACCATCATCATAAACCATAAAGCCACAAAGTAAGGAGGTCAAAGAATGGCATGCTTAATGGAGTGGTTGAAAAATGAATAAGGGACAGGAGTGAATAAAACAATTCTTGCACTGGGTTGAAGCAAGAGACCAGCTAGGAGGAGAAGCCGGGTCAGGCACCCCACTGTCCCCCCTTCCCCCCTCCCCATACTACAATTCATTGTTCTGGCCACATTTCCACAACATTTTCAACTTTTGGCACCAGTTGAAGTGGGATCCAGCCAAGTGTGTCTACTTCCCAATTTTGTCACTGACTTATACATTGGTTGTTCCCATTTTCTAAATACATGCCAAATCTTTCCATGAGCTCAGCCACCTGGTTCTTATTCCCCCACAAAGGAATTTTGTGTGTTTTGTTTACTTTAATACAATCCAATGAGCTATTTTTAGGTATCTTTTTAATGCGATCCATCCTGGCTGCTAGCTGAAGCCAGCCATATAGCCTCCAGAGCAGAAACTTAGGGAAAGGCACTCTAGGAAGAGGCTCTGTGGTTTCATACCTGGAACACTTGTTTTCAGAGCGTCTGGCAGCAGTGCAGCTTCTATGGCAGAAACCCTAGAGCTTGTTCCGAGAGCATTCCACTCTTCAGAAAGTTCCACCTAACAGTGTGAGATGCCAGGACCCCTCAATGAGAGTGGATTACTGGTGGGAAAAGGGATAGTAGTCCGGATTGCTGGGTAGTTTGAGAGCAGAATTCTGGAGGGGGTGGGGGAGAGAGTTGGCTTCATTTCTTCTGAACAACTCTTGAACAAGAATTAGATTTGAGTGGAGTCTCAATTGTATGCGGTAGAGTGTGTATGCATGTACACATACATGGACCACACACTTTAGAATTGCACTTTAGAAGTTAAAAGTCTTCAGAAAAAAACATTCTTGGGGAATACAGGGAAAAACCCGAAACATAGCCCAGTGAAGCTTTGGGTACTGTATGCTGAATTGGGAAGAAAAACGAACGCCAGGAGGAAGGGGGAATCTAATGCAGCATCCCAGTTGGGGCAGGTAGGTCGGTCCACAACCCTGAGCTAGAGCAACGCCACACTGCAATGTTTTCTTGCAGGTCACATTTTCAGTGCCGTTAGGATTGCAGTATGCAGGTGTGGCAACTACTTTCCAAATGGGCTGGCCTGCTGCATGTTGCAGAGATGCTCTGGGCCATGTTTCTGAGGTGGCCGTACATGTGTCTTAATTATTAGGCCGCTTAACTGTAGTGAATTGACTCAACAAGCCTGATAGTTCTCCTGTGCACTGACGCAGGTCAGTAAGAGTTGCCAAACTCAAAATGTCACAAAGCTTCTCTGCCTTTGCTGTGTTCACTGGAGAACTCTCATTCTCCAAGTTGTTTAAATTCTTGACCATCAATTTAACTGGTCAGATTTCAGACCTTATTGCAGCATGCTGTCAGGAAGAGAATTTTAAATCAATAAATGTAAATGCAATGCATATAAAATAGATTTCACAAGGGACACAGTTACACACTGGGTTTTATTTCAGGATCTGTAATCATGCCAGCTGCAAACTGAAATGACCTCCTGCAGTGAAGAGTAACCCTTCCTTCCTTCCTTCCTTCCTTCCTTCCCCAAAGATAAACAACAGGGCAGAATAAGCTGGCAGGAACTAACCTTCCTAAATGGTCTTTGGTTATTTATGTTGCTTATTTTTGTTGCAGAAAGTTCCCTATACATATTGTAGCTTATTTTCGATTCATCATTTTAGAAGGCATTCTCAGCACGTCTAACAGTAGAAACAGCAAAAGCGGGGGGGGGGGGGGTTTTGGTGCTGCTATACTTCGTCTTTAAAGGTGCACACAGGGTAAATAACAGTGTGATGTTGAAGTGGAAAATACATTTTCCTTGCACAGAGTACAGTTGATCTTGCAAGCAATGTGAGACAACAGCTGCAAAAAGGCAGCGGAACTGCTGGTCCTCAGAAGGCAGCATTTTCCTTTCCAACATAGTGCTTGCAACTGGTGTGTATCCCTCCCCTGCGGTGGTTTAGTGCTGTCTCCCCTTATTAACAGGCTGGGACTCCTGAGGTCTGGGCTTGATTTTTGGCTGAGTTCCTGAAGAGAAGGTACTGTCTGAAGGCGACAGTACAAAGGAATTATGTGAAACAGCTTGAAGCCCCCATTTCTGTACCTGGGGTAGTTTCATCATCAATCATCATTTATGCCATTCTACCATCTGCCAAAGGGCAGGAATAAGACGTGGGGTTTTGCCATTTCCAGGGGTGCCTTGAGCTGCTGGAGCCAAAAAACGGATGGTCCTCCTCAGTTCTAGGTTTTGGCTCTCTGATAAAGGGGAGCACATCTGCCCAGCCCTTGCAGGTGGTGTCCCGTGCATTTGTGTGTTCATGTAAAACTATTTCGTGGCTCTGTTGCTAGTGTATTCTCGCTCACTTAAAAAGGTTCCCCAACTCCTTGGCTCAAAATCGGAATCATGAATGGTGAAAAGATGACGTCTGTTTGATCTCTGCATGCAAGAAGCCTTAAGGAGGCCCACACTGTCCGCACAGGTTTACTGGGCACAAGCTTTTGTGAACAGAGACACTTGGTCAGCTTAAGGAAACGGTATCACAGTGCCTTCAGTCTGAGTCATTCTGCTCTTGTGTATGGACCTGGGCTCCGTCTTAAGGGTACTGCAGAGCTCCTGTCTCATGCTGCATTTCAGCACACTGGGTCTCGCCATGCGTCAAAAGTCCCCTCTCTGTCCCTGTCTGGAGGTTAGATCCAGAAGGCGCCTTCTGCAAGCGCAGCAACCTGCTGTCCACTTCTGCAGTGTCTTCCCACTAGGGCAAGGATGCCAATCTGACAAGCCAGCTTTCACGGGCACAGCCGGGGCAACCCAGTGTTCCAAGTTAAGGCTAAGTCTTCCTCATTTTCCAGTCCCAGTGGCCAGTGGCTGCAAATCCCAGGACTTCCAGGTTGAGAGTAAACTGAAACGTAACATCACTGGCTTGCTGTAGCCTCGGCAAGGCAGGGAAAGCAGCATATTCCTTCCTTTTCTCTCACATGTGCAAGCGACCCCTTGAGCCCATTATTCTTCCACCTTGGCCGCAGCCGCGCAGACTCACTTTGCCACTCGCTACCCGCAAGAGCTGCCACCTGCCTTCTGTCTCCCGGAGAAGCCACTGGCCTTGCTCCTAGCAGGGCGCTTGCCGCAGTGGGAAGGCAGAGCCAGCAAGGCCCCATGAGCACGCCCTGTCCTGCCCTCCTGCTCCTGAGACAGCAGCAGGGATGGACAAGAGGCATGCTGCGCTAGCATTTCTGCAACTCTTTGGGGACTGCGCCATTGCTACAAATCTTGCAGCCCAACAGATCTGCACCAAGAGTGTGTTCCCTGGCTGGCTCTGGCCCGTGAAAGCTGCTGCCACAATGACTCTGTCAGCCTGTAAAGTGCTAGAAGATGGTTGCTTTTGCTGCGAAGGACTCAGGGCTGAATTCGAGAGAAGGCGGACATCTATCATCATTCATGTTTCCGTCCCGTGGGAGGAGAGTGCAAGGGGATGATTTGTTCTTCTAATATCAAACAGGGACATTTCTGAGGAGAATTTAACCCGCACCCCTGCTAAGTTCCATCAATTCTGTCCAAGGGTAGAAAGAAGAGCACACTGAGACCAAAGGGGTGGTGGGAGCAGCTCTCCTCACCTGCATTCTCCCTTTGGGGGGAAATTCAAAATACACACAGGCTTCGTAAGTGAACAGGGCAGGTATGTAAACCCTGTGTCTGCCCCATCAGATCAAGGCACGGCCTCGCTGTGGCTACCTCTTCAGAAAATAATATTCCCAGCTATTTGTTTTAACCTTCATTTCATAATTTATCCCTTGGTGTTAAAACAAAACACCAAAAACCTTGGAAAGGCAGGACCATCGTCCTTACTGGGTTCAGCCCCTTTGCTCTTGGACAACTGTCCCAGTGTTGGTTGTGTCATGTGTGCCTAATGAAGTGTCAGCAGGGAGTGTTCTGGAGACACACGTGCCATGCGGCTCCCTCACCAGCTGGCTTCTTTGGAGTCTCAGGCTGGGCAGGGCTTCTCCGAAGTCGATCCTTTTGCAGCTTGGCTGGTTGCCCAGACAACAGGGCTCTCACCCAGTGTAAGGCTTAGGGTGACCTCTTTTAAGCAAACCAGTGGGTGTGGTTAGGAAGCCAGCACATTTGTGTCCATCCACGTTGATGCTTTCAGAATTTCACAAGCCTTTCCTCTGAATTGTTCCCATGTACTGGGATGCCTTTCTTTGTATACCTCCAAAGGTTCTGAGGCCCGGAAGGCACTGTGGTGTCGCTTATCCGCACCAGCGGTCCCTGGCAAGCATTTTCATGCTCAGGCTAGCCTGTTTGCACTGGCTCCCATTTGTGGACACCTGCAGCGTGTAGTGCAGAAGCGGCTCCACCACATTCCCACTGATACTCACGGCCTAACCAGTGCAGTGGTTCTCGAGAGGGAGGGAGGGAGGGAGTGCTGACCACTGGGCAGTGTGACTCCTTTACACAAAGAAGAAAAAGAAAGCAAAAAGCTAGGTAGGATTCGGGTTCTTGTAGGTCAGGTAATGCTTCCAACAATTCTCTCTGACAGTCTTCCATTTCTTCAGGTTGATTATATTTTTCAGTTGGTCCTTCATCCACACACTGTTCATCACAATTCCTTGTTTGTTTGCCCATGAAACCATATACTCCTTGTGCAAATTTTCCCTGCTCCATGCGTGTCCACCTGGCACGTTTTGTTTAAAGTTCTCATGCGTCACACTTAGGTGCACTGAGATTACCTGCTTCCCGGGGGCCGCTCCTCTCCCTTGCCATCCTCACCTCCGTTAGGAGCGGCAGGCAGCACAGCGGAAATCTGCCTCCTTCACAGCGCTGTAGCTGCAGCCCACACACGCAACGTGGAACCAGGCATCGCAGCCATCACACTGGACCCACTCCACCATCTCGTCCTGAGGGAGGCGGCACCGGGGCGCTGCACATGGCTCAGATGCAGACAGAGTCTGGGAGAACACCTGGCAGGTGCCCCCTAGAGGGTTCTTCCGCGGTCGACCCCGCCGTTTCCTGCAAAGGAAAAGACCGGAAGGCATTCTCAGCACGGCTCATTTTCTCCCCACCAGCACAGCACATTTCCCACGTGTCCGAAGAGCCAAGCCTACCTTTCCGTGCAGAGTTGCATTTATAGATGATGTTATGGCCAATTGCACTATGACGCACCACTTCACAAGCGCACAGTTCAAACACCAAAATTCTCTACCTAAAAAGTAATGGGGGCAATGGGGGGTCACCACAGCTTGCGTGTCCCCCTCATCCCCAGTCCCTCTGTGCGGAGAGCATCACCCACAGCAACGGGGCCCTCGAGGTTCCAAGCACCTCTTGCCTCATCGTACTGCCTTCTCTTCGACAGGCAACTTGCCAGGTATCTCCACCTTAGCACTGAAAAGGTGCTGCGATGGAATTTAGAGCTGGATCCTAATACCTCTGCTCAATTTACATCCCCGTCAACTGCCACTAAAGGAGGAACATGATTGGTGGGTGTGGGTGTGAGGGTGGCAGGGAAGGCCTTCGAGACAAGTATATTCATTTACTCAACTTCTATTCTGCAGTTGCATTAATCCCAAGGAGTCTCTCTGTACAGCAATTCCACATCTGCGGAATAAAGTGCTGGGAGCAGATCCTCGTTTGCGGACAAATTTGCAGGTTATTTGCTGATCCTCTTCTTTCCTGTCTAGAAGAGCAGGTCATAAAGCTGCAAACGCCCGCGTCAGAAAGTGTCTGCAGACACTTGAGAGAGATTGGTGGCCACACTGAATTGCAGAGCTGGAACACTGCCAAGGGGGGAAATTAATGAGTGGGAGAGATGCTGGAGCATCTTCCCTGCGAGCTAAGGCCTGGGGCATTTTTAGTTTTTGGGGAAAAAATGGACTCTAGAAAAGCATGATAAAGGTTTGCAAAATTGGGTATGGGGTAGCCTTCACCCTACCCCATTTTCTTTCATAATGGTAGAACTCAGACACTGACAGGCAGTTGATCCATAGCTGATTAATAAAAGGACTATTTTCATGCAGCACAATTTATAAAACTTAAATGGAAAGGGATGTGGCCATGGCTGCCTACTTAGATGGCTTTAAAAGGTGATTAAACATCTTTTTAAGGATAAGGTTGCCAACGGCTACTAGTCATGTTGGCTCTTTGTTACTTGCAGCATTAGATTTTACAGTTCTGCATGCCAGTCGCCAGGAAACTTGAGCAGGAGTGTGCGGCTACACACTCGTGTCCTGCTGGTGAGCTTCCCTAAGGCACCTGGCTGACCATGCAGAAACAGAATGCTATTAAGAGGGGCCTCCAGCCTGATCCAGAAGGCATTCCCTGCATTCGTATTACTCTCACTTCTCTAAAAGGCTGTTTTGCCTCCCTTGCCAGCTCCTGACTTAGTCACTGGGGCGTGCTTCTGCCCCCATATGTCCTTATGAATTGGACTGCTGTTCCTGTCACCACACAGGTCCAGGTAAAATCGTCATGCATTATGAAAGGATAAACAGAACATTAAATATAAGCGAGAAGTCTGTAAACAGACATTTTTACACATGCAGCCATTGTGTTCGATGCACATGCCAGTTCAGCAGGCAGGAGAACTCTGCTACCTAGAAAGCAGCTGTGGATTCCTAGGCTTGTAAGGCGTGGCAGAAGAAGGCAGGCATGCTAGCTGGGCATGGCAAAGAAATAGGAGCTATTGGCCTCTAGAAGCTTCATCCATATACACTTAGATATCAACACATGAAACAGCCACATTATGCCAAGTCTGAGCATTGGTATCTCTAGCCCAGCACAGTCTATCCTGACAAGCAGCCACCCTCCAGAGCCCCAGAAGTCTTTCTTAACTTTGCTAAACCAGCAACCTGCCTATAACTGGGGGAGGGAGGAGCTTCTGGTGTGGGCCACTGTTTTCAGTGTTCTGTCGCCTTAGTTTTACTATTTAAAATGATTGTACACAAACTTCATGACATTTGAGCGGATAAGGGGGCATATACATGTTCTTATTACTATTTATTTATACCCCACCTTTTTCCTTCAAGGAACTCAAGACAGTTTACAAAAACCTCCTCCTCTCAATATTATCTCTGCAACAACCCTGTGAGGTGGGTTAGGTTGAGAGACAGTGACTAGCCCAAAGTCACCCAGGGAGCACTGTGGCCAGGTGGGACTTGATCCTGGCTCTCCTCTAGCCCAGTCCCACACTGCAGGCACATGACGACGACGACGACGATGATGGTGTAGATTTAGAAAGGAGCTCACCCACTGGGCGTGATGTGAAGCTTTGGTCCGACATCTTCCTGCGAGCTCTTGCTTCCCTCTGGCACTCGCTGCTGGAGCTGCAAGGAGGTGGGGCTGCTGGCGTGACAATGTGTGAAATGACTCGGGTGCTGCCCCTTGCCGGGCAGCAGCTGCTCCTCTTCAAGGCGCGTGATCTCATCCTCCAGTTCGGGCAGCAGGGTATGTGCCGACTTGCGGCGGTTCCGAGAAGCCCTCGGCTGGGCAGGGGGTTCCGCGCATCGCGCCCGGCCCAGGGAGAACGTGAACGGCTGCGGCTTGAGTTTGCTGAGGCTGCCGATGGAGTTGAGGATCAGGGTAGCTTTGGAGCGGCAGGAGAGGGAAGTGGCCGAGTGACGGGACAGTGGGCGGATGCGGTGGTTGCCAGACGGCAGCACCGGTCGGAAGCCGCTGTTGGAAGCCCAGGGTGCTTTTGGTTCTGTGATAGCAGCAAAGTCCTGTGGTCGAACGTGCACCTTCTGGAAGAGGAAGTAGAACTCGGAGCTGCCGTGCGGGCCTGGCAGGGCACAGCCCTCAGGCACCGGGTTGGGGTGGCCAAAGGTCAGGAGATCACCATCGGTCAAGTCGACCCGCCGGCCGTGGGGAATGCGGATGGCATTGACATAGGTACCTGGAGTGATAATTGGATAAGAAACCGAGGATATCTTTAGACAGCACAGTATTCTCCAGCCTGGGCCATCACCATTTTAGCTAGCGATGGCTGTCATACCAACCAGCCCATGTGCCTGAAAGTATCATGGCTGGGTCAGCATGACGTGTTGGCCCTGAGGAGAACAGCACAAGAGTCATACAGCCCCCACATAAACGATGAGTGCCAGCCACGCTGGTTCAGGGCACTCAGCCTTAGGGCACAATCCTGTGCGTGGTCGGGCATTCTGGCCGTGGTTCTCCAGGAGCTGTGCCAAGCTTTTCTGCCGCAGGACCCACCCTAAAATTCCTGCAATAGTTGCCAAGAGCTAAGGATCAAGAGGAACAAAGCTGCATGAAGACGCCCGAGGCACAGTGGGCTTCCCTCACATTCCAGCTGAACCATCATACAGCCAGAAGTAGGTAGCTAGTTCAGTCGACTGAAGCAAACACACACACACACGTACACTGCTGTGACGCATCACTGTGGCAAAGAGGTTTGAATAGCCAAGCCAATTTCACCAGCTGCATCAAGTGTTCTCCTTAGCTGGTGTGCACACATGCAGTTTGTCACTGCCCCTTGCATAAACAACGCACAAACGTACCACGTGTTGATTGTGAGCGCAGTGTCCAAAGTGGCTTGGTTAGCAGTGCAATGTCTGACCTGGCTATTTATGGGTTACACGACCTGGAATTAATCTAAAAATTAATGTTATGTTAACTCTAGGTTGCAGAGCTTGTAATCAACCCAGAGTGTCTGCATTTGGACATCGTATTATCAACCTACAAATGGGCTGGATGTAGGTTGTTCATGAAAACCGGAAGTGGCTTCTGCAGAGCACACATCCCCAAATCTTGGGTTAATTATCCCATGACTTGCTGCCATTTCTCTCTCCCACACACACAGTTATAGGAAGAAAAAGATAAACAGCAGAGCCAAAAAGCTATCTGACTTTTATACAGAAGACATGTGAACTGTACTTCTTGCATTTCGTGGCTGTTTGGCTCAGCTGTTTGTGTGTTGATTCTGATACGCCCCTGTAAGCATCTGCAAGCCGGCTGAGGACAATGGCTTATGCATTTGCAGAAGCAGGTTCTATTTCACAATAAATGCAAGTCTTGAAGTCACCAGAACAAAAAGCATTTCACAGAAACTTTGGGGCACAGTCCTATGACCCCCAAACGTCATCTGAGACACCAAGGAATTCTTTCAAGCCAGTTCTGAGATATTCTCTCTCCACTGTTAAATCTAGACAAAAATATCTGTGAAATAGTATTTAGGTATGCAGCACCAGCTAACTGTCCTAGTACTTACAATGGATCAAACCCTTTTTGTCTCAAATTAGTTTTCCTTCAAAAATCTGTGCTCCCCATGCTGTTTAACAGAGTGCACAAGCCCAGTCCTGCCTGCGTTCAACACACCTAGGACTAGGTACCCAGAACAAAAGGTGATCCTTGCAGTGCTTTGGTCTGAATTCGGCCCCGTCCAGCGCCAGCTGCGAGCTTTTGAAGGGCCTTGGGGAGACACCTCCCACCAGCCCCTCCCCTTGTGATTCTGCCATTTCACTGCCACTGCCACTAGCTATTATTGCACCTCACCCTGTTTCTCGTCATGGCTGCTACTTGTCTGCTTGTTTGACAGTCGGAGCCAGTGAACAAAACAGGCAGTGGTATCTCCTCCTCCTCCTCCACTCTCCTCCTCACCACTACCACTGCAGCCTTGGGGAAAAGGCAGGTGAATAAGCCAGGACCAGTGAAGGAGTAGAGAAGCAACTCCAAAGAGGCTCTTGCCAGTGTGGGCCCCTGATGGGATGTGGCCCCTTGACAGGTGGCCAGCCATGCTTACTCTTGGTTCCCACCCTGGTCTCCTCCCACTTGAGGACGGACACTTGTAAGGACTCACCATGAGTGCTGTAGTCCACCAGGCCAACACACCACTCGCCAGCTGTGCTGTCAGCATCCCTCTCTGCCTGGATTTCTGCATGGATTCGAGAGATCAAGGCTGGGTTCTGCTCTGACACCAGAATAACATCACAGACTTCTGCTCGGCGGCCCAACCGATAGGTACAGCTAGGCCTGGCAGGTCGGAAGGTGTAGAGATCCCTGTTGGGTGAATCCCCAGGAGAAGCTGGGCCCATCCGAAGTAACTGGAAGCAAGGCAGAGCCTCAGAAAGCATGGCTAACTCCTTCCTCCTCCACTAACATAGGAGGGATTGCTGTCAAGGAGTGAAGGCAGGGCAGAGATCTGATAGGTGGGAATGGGAGTCCAAAGGTAACTATGAAGACTGAGAGAAGAGGACTTGCAGATTTCACCTAATTTTACAGCAAGTCACTAACCACACCTTCAGCTTTGATAATGGCAAGCTTTTGGCAGTATATCAAGCTGTTCAAATATATAGCAGCATTGGGTGCAAAAAGATCTACAGTGTAAACTGGGATTGCTACAGGAAAGGCTGGCTAACTCGGTGCACCTGAACAGAAAATCTAAAAAATGACAGTCTACACAAAGACAAAAATCTTTAGGTGAAAGAACTGAGGTGGGAGAGTTTTGTCATACAATTTACAAATCACTACCCTGATCGGCCTTATTGCACAATAAAGCAAAGCCCTTCCTCAGTCCCCGCCACCTGTTTCCAGTCACAAAACTCTTGGAAGTCACTCCTAAACCTGCTTCCAAATCTCGGCAAGTGCAACGCTACAGACGTTCAAGTGCAATTCGCTCAAGAGCTCCTTCGAGGTAAAATTCTACATGAATGGGACAGGCTGCCCCGTTCTTGTCTTGCAAGTTGCCTCTGGAAGGCTTCGATGCCTCTGGAAGTCTAGTGCAATGATGATCCCAGAAGTCTCCTGTAAGAAAACCGCCGCCTTGTCCCCTAAACACGCCTGGTGGCTCCTGTGCGCGGCGCCTCCGGGACTCCAAGAAGGCCCAGCCCTTGACAGGGAGAAGACGCGAGTCCGGATTGCCTGAACTGGCTTCTCTTCGCGTCGGCACTTTGAGCAGCGGGAGGTCGGGGCCCTGAGCACTCACTCCCCGTTCCTGGGTTCTTTCGAGTCTCCCGAGCAACGAGGTTCTGTGCTCACCGCTCCCCTCGGGGGGCTGCCGCGAACGTGCTCCTACGTATCAGGCTCCAGAACGGGGGAAGGGGCGGTGTCAGGGCAATCCTCGGACTTGGAGCCCCCGCCTAGCGCCCCCGTCTCCTTGACAACGCAAAAAGAAGGTTCGGTTTCCTTCGCAAGGCGCTTCCAGAGCCCTCGACGTGGCCGATGGTGATGGCGGCGGCCGCGGCGGTGGCACCGTCCAGCGGCCACATCCACAGCCGGAGCCGGCCGTGTTTTCTTTGCACGGCCGGTGCTCCAGCAGCTGCTCCCCGGGCTCTGAGCGGCGCGCGCTGCCCGCCGATTGGCCCAGCTGAGGCAGGAGGCAGGAGGAAGGATAGGGCCTCGTCATGCTATTGGATGGCTGTAGAAAAAGCCTCCTTTCTGACTGGCTGATACAGCGAAAGGGCGGTTCAGCGAGCATGAGCGCGCGCGAGAGACTAAGGGCGTGGGGCGGGTGAATGTTATGATTGGTGGGTCTTTCCCGGCGGTAGCTGCCTGGGCGGGCACTGGTCTCGTGGCGCGTTCCGAGGAGGAAAGGAATTAGGCGGGGCAATAGAATTGCGCATGCGCGGGATGCGAGGCGTGAGCCAATCCGCCGCCAGCTGATTTCCAGCGCTCCGCCCGGGATCGCGTTGCGTGTTGCGACTGCCGGCCGGCTGACCCGCCCCTTCACAGCGCTTAGCCGGGACGGAAGCTGCCCAGCGCTGGGGAGTCTGAACCTCAAGCAAGGAAACGAGCCTCTGAAAGTGTGGAGCGGCTGAGATATTAACCCAGCGCCGGGCAGCCTCTGCCTTAGAAGGGAGAGCTGTGAAGGTACAGGCTCTCAAGAACAACAAGGGAGCTGTAAAGACACCTACAAAACTCCTACTGGCAGTAATATTAAAATTTCTCGGAAGACGACTATGTACTTTGGGCTCAATGCAGAACCCTTAAAGGGCAGCTGAAACACTGTAGAGCTAAGCCAACAGCTAAGCATCCTGTTTCCTTGTCTTACCTTCCCAACCAATATCATGTTCTTCTGCACTATCTAATGTGCTGAAAAAAATTAGACTTAAAGGCAAGGTATGGGTGTGGAGTTGGGTGTACTCCAGGGGATAGTGGAGGACAGGAGGACCTGGAGGAATGTTGTCCATGGGGCTGCAAAGAATCGGACACGACTTTGCGAATGAACACCACCAACAAAATACATCTTTAAATTAAACAGCGTGTGTTCCCTTCAGTTGGTGCATAGTAGCTGGTTGCATTCAAAAGATTCTTGCTCTTTTCAAGTTCTTCCAGATGTGCTGCTTAGCCCAAAGGAGGGTGCAATGCATGCCTTTTGTGTAAACAAAGAAACACTCTTCGATTAATTTTGTAGACAGGACTCTTTCACAGGCCTCCCAGCGGAGAGAGAGCAAAAGGGCACGTAAGGGATTAAAATCAGGCTGCCACTCGCAGGACTGCACCTTGAGAGGCTTTGAATGCTGTTTGCCCCCACCCTCAAAAAATAAAAAGCAAGACGTGGGAAGTAATGATAGCTCCCATGAGAGAATCAAAGACTAATTATGTTTGAAAAATAAGACGCTTCAATAAATGTTTGTGTACTTACTTGAATCATTTTTATTTACAAATATAAGTCTGTCTATTCCCATGTCCTGGCCTCCCCCAGTCAGGTTGCCTTCAAGAACTGCCATTACGTGCCTGCACTGCCACCTTCATCTTTATCTGCCTCCTCATCCCCTAAGATTGCAGCACCTAGCGCCTGCAGGTCATCCAGCACAGCCAGCAGGGACTCTGTGAGAAGAGGAGAGAGAGCCATAAGAGTATGAACCAAGTGGAACTAAGGGATGGTGCCAATGAGAGAGAGTTGCTCTCAGCCTGGAGCCTGCTGAGGGATGGAGAACAATTCAGGAAGGAAGAACCCCGAATCCCAGCAAAAGAGGAAGTAACAAGAATGGCAAGGAAATGTGGGCAGGCAGACGGCACACCTGTCCACTGTAGGTGATGTTGGGGAGAGAAGCCAAAGTGGACAGGTATAGAGGCAGTAAGGAATTCTGGGAGGAGGAGTCTCTACCTTTAGTAGGAGATTTAGTTTCTGTCCTCATAGTTGGCTCTGCTGGGCCCTGGACTGCAGCCAACCGATTCTGCCGATGCTGGGCCAACAGGCCCTCTTGCCTCAAGGTGGCCTGTGCAAGGAATGGGACAAGCTTGGATGCAGGAGACAGTCGCCAACAGGAAAGCCACCTCCTCTCCCCGCTTACTTCATGGACGTACCATCAACAGGTTCCTGTCCCTCTCCAGCTCCTGCAGACGTCCTTCAAGCCGTGCCATTTCCTGCTGTGCAGCAGCTTCCTGCAGCTTGGCCAGCTCCTCGGCACGAGTGTGGTCCCTCGCGGCCTGTCGCTCGGCTTGGCGCAGGGCAACAACTGCTGAGACACCCAGCAAGATGAAGAGGCACCAAAAAGCGGGGAGGGGAGCTGCTGGGTGTGAAGGCCAAAAAACTCAGGCCCAGACGACGTTTCCCTGTCTATCCCAACAGTGGCTCAGGCTGGGCTGCGGCTCAGCAGCAGAGCACCTGGTCTGCATGCAGAATGTCATTCCAGGCAGGGCTGCTTAGGATTCCTGCTGGACAGCCAAGAACTGCTACCAGTCAGGATCAGTAATTCCGGGCTATAGAGGCCAAAGGACTGATTTGGTAAGGCAGTTTCCTGTAAAGCAGCAACTCTCTGGGTTGTCAAGCCAAGACTGTTCCCAAACCTGCCTCTGGACCCTTCAAATGGAAATTCCAAAGCCTGAGCCCAAGGCCTTCTTCAAAAAGGTCCCTGCTCTGCCACTCAGTTGCAGCCCTCAAGGCAGACCAGCGGAGTGAAGCAGAGGCTGGAGCTGGAGCAGCTGATTGACTGGGTTCAGACAACACAGCAACCCACACTCGAAGGCTGAACTGCGTTGCTGTGGAACAGTGAGTTACCATGTTCTCTGAATCCAGCTGCACTAACGCGCTGAGGCCTGTTAACCACAAACAGTCTAGGAAAGGAATCCATGGTTTGTTGTTGGGTTATGAACTGTGGATTGTTCACAACGCTTGGTTACCTTGGCTAGTACAGGCAGCACAACATCTCATGTTTCAACACCCACCCATGGTTCAATGAAAGCACAAGCTCAGTCCTTGAACGTGGGTGAGCGTGTGGTATGAACCCAGTCATTGCTAATGTGTTACATTTTTCCCGTATGTTACTATTTTCTATCTCAGGCACTGAAGCATCTTGGATGATTCCTAATGGCCTTTCTCAGGTGTCAGGCTGCTCACCTGCCTTTGTGTGCTCTCTGCGTGCTTCATTGAGCCTTTTTTCCATTTCTGACAGATCCTCACGCAGCTGTGTTTCAACTTCCGTTACCTTCTCCTGCAGGGCTATGAAAAAGGGTATTAACCAGGGCTAAAGGTAAACTCCCCCCCGCATTCCACACTTCCCCAGTCCTTTGCTCACTACGGCACCTCAGCAGTGCCTCCATGCACCAAGCACACCTGTCTTTGACTCACTTTCCAGACTCTAAGTCACATGTCCAGTTCCAAGCAGTTTCTGCTCTTCCTACACTCTTGAAAGGGACTTCAAACTGATATAAAGAATATTTTGAGTCTTGTGCTTTACCTAGTGGTTGGCTAAAACCAGGTCCTTTTGCCTGCAGCCTGAAGTGTTTATGCTAAAAAAAATTTTTTTGTAAGATTCAGGCATGCCCTCTTACCACACACCAAGGAAAGGAGGAAATGATCAGGAGTCAGGCCAAGGACCTTTGAGACCAGAAACATGAATTGTGCCCCTAAAAACCATGCTTCCTCTACAGGCCTGGAACCTAACATTTTGTATGCGTAAGCTACCTCAGGGTCAGTTCAGCTTATATCCATACCCTGTGTATAGAAACGATATATCTGTATATGTGCCTGTGTGTTGCAACTGACATCCAGCAGTTTTATTTTCTTACAGGCGCACAGGACAAAAATATAAAATGCAAGAACCAGGGGTCATTTAACAGGTTCTCGTGTCTAGCCCCTGTGGTTATTATCCTCTCTACAGCAAAGGTCTCTCAGCATCCACTGCACACCTTTTTCGTACTCCTCTCTTAGCCGCCCCACTTCCTGCCTCAAACTCTCCGCCGCCTCCTCCGTCATTCGCAGGTCCCGGGCTGCAGTCTCCAGCTGCCGCTCTGTGCTCTCCTGCTGGCGCCTCAGGGCCTGCTCCACCGCTGCCTTTGCTTCTAGTGCCTCCTGCAGGCTCCGCACAGTCTCCTTCATTTCCTCAAGCTCTGACTCCGCTGCATGGCAAAGGGAAGAGTCAGTACACGTGGCAGCATACAGCAGACCAGCCCCCTCAGGCAGCCTCCCAGAGTGTTGGAGAGGCAGTGAGAAAGCGGGCAGCTCTGCAGAGCTCCTGGGAGCCATCCGTGAGAAAGCGGGCCTTGCCTGTGCCTGAGCCATGCTGCCTCTGGCCGCACGTTGCGATGGCCTCGTGGTTTCTCCCTGTACCTCCTTAGCCAATCAAATGAAAAGCATATAAAATCCAGTCTTTTGTGGAAGCCTAGCAGGTTTTGCTGTGCTTCAGGGCATTTTCTATGAGATCTGGTAGCTTAAATCAACGTAACTGTCTCTCTGATCTGTGGAAGCAGCTTTTGAGAGGTTGATTCTACCATGTAATGGACCTGTTCCCTTCTTTTCTTACAGTCCTGACTCTACATTCAGGGTGGTTCACACTGTTACATAGTTTGTCTGCTGGTTTGAACTGTCACCACCTCACATGGTCTAGGAATTTCTTCTCCCCCACCCCTTCTACAGGGTCTCTCAGCAAGCCCAAGATGTGCTGGTTTTCAGTCACTGCCTGACTAATCGCACTTGCTAGTCTTGACTTTGCAGAGTCACCTGCCAGCTCCTTCCCCCCTTCTAGTAGTGAGCGAGGGGAAGTGGAATCCAGGAGATCTGGGTTTTCTAGTTCCCCCTCAGCTGTGGCACTCACTGGGTGACTTTGGGCCATGTACTCTCAGCAAAACCTACCTCAGAGGGTTGTTGTGAGGATAAAATAGAGAGCAAGAGAACCTTTTAGCCTGCTTTGAGTTCCTTGCAAGAAGAAAGGTGGGATATAAATACCATGTCGTAACAACAGCAACAGCCTCCTGGACTGGGAAAGCAATATTGTGAGAGAGAGCAGGGCTCCATCTCCACAGCTCCCATGAATGAATTCTCTTCCATACCGCCCAAGAGCTGCCACCTACGCGGAGAAAACCAGCAGGTGCAAGTCGCCTCATTCCAGCTCAGAGCACTGTCCATCTAGCTTAGTTTGCTCAGCACTGCCTGGAATCTAAGGCAGGCCCAACCTGGAACTGCCAGGAATCAAACTTGGCACCTTCTAGCATGCAAAGCACTTGTTCTGTCGCTGAGTTATGGTCCTTTCCATTCTCTCTGACTTTCTATGTGCTGAGAATTTTGTGTAATACAGAGGTGAATTCTTTCACACAAACACCAGCCGACATTCTAAAGCAGGGCAGAAACACTACTGGATGAGAACTAGGCCCAAGTTAGTCACCTCTTTCTCTTGCTTCAGCCACCTTCTTCTCCAGGAGTTGAGCCCCACGTTTAAGCTCCAAAGATAGTTGATCTCGTTCTTCATGCAGCATCTGCAACTCAGTTTGCAGGTCCTCATAAGATGGCTGAATCCTGGAGGGGGAAACAGTCTGTTCTTTAGGGAGGAAATACAAGCAGTCACAACTCCTGAACCGTCTTGGCTTTAGCCTGTTCCCAAATTAGAGTTCTGAACTTACTTCTCCTGGTCTGATCGCACAGTGCAAGGTTTCTCCTCTTGCTGAAGTTTAGCAAGTGCTATTTTCTGGCATACTAACGCTACAAGACAAAAGGGTTTGGTTATCCACTGACAGAAATGTAGGTTGGAAACAAAAATAAAAAAATGTCAGTGCCCACTGCTTTGGGAAGGGAATTTCAAACACAGGGTGCCACCACATAGAAGGCTCTTGTTTTGAAAATTCAAAGTGTATGTGTCTCACTGATGTCATTTGGAGAGGGTCTCCTCAAAATATCTTACGCATCTCTTAATGTTTCTCTTTTGTACAGCTGTAAAGAGCAAGGACAAGATCAAAGTGTGCAGAGTTTGCAAATTTGGGAGAAAGCCAGTGTGGTATAGTGGTTAACAGCACAAGACTGGGATTCAGGTGACCTGGATTCCGGTCCCTGCTCAGCTATGGATCCAACTGGGTGCCTTTGGACCAGTCACAGACTTTCAGTCCAACCTACCTCACAGGGTTGTTGTTGTGGGGATAAAATTGGGAGGAGAGGAGAGGAGAGGAGAGGAGAGGAGAGGAGAGGAGAATGATCTAAGCCACTTTGCGTTCTTTTTAAGAAAAAACAGCAGGTTATAAATCAAATAAATGATAAGAGTCTGTGGTTAGACTGGAATCAATATGTGACCTTTAGAGGCTCTCTGACGCTCTGCAGGCTGGTACAGAGAAATGTGCCTGTTCTGCAACTGAAACCCCAGAAAAGCACTGCAAACATATGTTGCTCCAAGTACGCAAATAATTCCTTGAGCGGAGCCAGCTGGTCAGACTAGATGACTGAGGAGTCTCCTTCTGACTGCTTTGTTTCTATGTTAATTGCATGGCGGGATGTTTTATGAGGAATTCACACATGTATCTTGCTGCATCCCACTTCTCTGGAGTTTTGTCTTCTTTGGCAACGAACAGTGATAGAAGCAAGAGGAAGAGCAGAACAGGTGAGAGTCTAAACAAAGGACAGATTTATGGCACACTACAAACTTGTGTCTGTTTTATAACAGTTTAACTGTCACAGCTTTTCCAAGATGAGGTGCACAAGGGAAGAGGAAAGCTTCCCCTACCCTGTCAGAAAAAGCACTCAGCTCCAGCTGCCCTGAGTGAGAGGTAAGAACAATAGGTTTGCTTCCTCTATCAGCCAAATAGCCACAGATTACTATTCAGGCAAGAACTGTAGCAAAGGAAGATCAGCCTGGCCTGAAGCTCATTTAAATGTCATTTTCTTTCTCATCACCAAACTGATCACCTTCCACTATCTTTTTCTTCCACTGCTCTTCCCTTGTGTACATTGTCTTCATAGTTTCTAACCCTTAGGACAGGGACTGTCCCTTTTTTAAAATGTTGAGCCCTTTTGGTAGGCAATAATTACCTGAAAAGCGAGATTAAAATCCAGCAAACGCAAAAAGGTTAGAGTGGCAAAGGTGCCAAGATGTCGAACTCAGAAAGCCCCTACTGTTTCTCGCAGAATTGCAACATCCTGCGCAGTTTCTTTTCTCAGAAGTGAGTCCTGCTGAGCTGAAGGACGCTTGCAGAATTATGGCCGTGGACTAAAGTTCAGGCAACCCTGCCGGCCATTTGAAAGAAAGGGGAGGGGGGATAAACTGATCTTAGCAGTTTATCTTAACTTCTACTTGAACGTGCACCGCACAAAACTGGATTGTTATGCTATGGATGTGGACGTGCCATCTGAGACGTCAAAGGAGAGGAAGAGAAAGGAGACAGGATTGTCTGGGAATAATCTGAAGCATGTCTGGTATGCTGGGAGGGAACAGTACACCAATTGAGCAACACCGGGCAGTCATGCAAAGGAATGTGCTTTAACTGCTGTGAGACACCTTGATGAGGCTCGCATGACTCACGAAGGACTAGAAGCCAGTGACTTTTTGCCTTGGCCCCACGTGGCACAAGCCTCTTCCGTAACTGCCCATGCTGTGCACAGGCTGCCATTCCACCCGATCTACCTCAGGAGCCTAGAACAAGCCACGGGTGGCGGGGGAGTCTGGAAGTTGTCCACAGTGCCCACCTGACTGCGTCTGCACAACACAGAGACCCACACGCTGCATGGGTAAGGACAGAAATGAAGCAGCACCTGAGGCAAGAATCAGATGCTGCCATGGCTTCTTTTCCTTCCCCAATCATGCAAACCTGTGCATTATGTTAATGCATAAATAAGGTGCAAATAGAGAGGTTCCTGACTATCTAAATTCGGGCTGGCACTGCACTTGAAAAACTCAGCTGTAAGGAGGATTCCCATCCCTGAACACTCGACGCTTCAGCAAATCAGAAGAGCAAGGAACTCGCTTAAAAACAGCACCTAAAGCACAGATGTTGCAATGTCGTGGCCAAATCACCTTGATATGGAAGTCACTGGGTTAGGTTTGGGCCAACACAGACCAGGTAATAATATCCAAGTTGGGGTGAGGTGGGGAAGATTGCATTGTGCCTAGATTGTGCAGCTTACCTTGAATGGTGTCGACTCTCTTCGCTGCAAAAGCAACCCTGTTTCCCAGCCCTCCTAGGCGAGACAAGGCTGCCTTCCAGACCTCTTCCTGCCCCACCAGCTGTTCTTTTAGCCTGCAGAGCAGAAGACACGGGGTCTTAACCTGCACTATAGCACAGGGAGCAAAGATGGCTGCGTGAGAGGCGACCAAGAACACAGCCTTGCAAAAATAGGGAGCACAAAGACTTCTTCACAGTGGTGTTCAGGTTAAGGGCCCAGGGCCTTTTCATGCCTTCCATAGAAGGGTTAGCACCTTTCCTGCATTGAACATCTTAGAAGAGACAATCGGCAAGCCTTTTAAAAAAGTGCTTACATTTAAAATCAAATTTTGTTAATGCATTATCCAATTAACAAAGGATGTCATTTTAGCACATACATTGTGCTGTTGATTTTCTTTCAACCTTAGAGATGATTCCATTTTGGATAAATTCTTGGCAGCTGCAATCTGGCAGTGGGTAGAACAGAAAGCAAAATGGGCCAAAAACAAAAGGGATGGGATCAAAATTCCCACCATACCAGAATATTTTAGCTTGACGCTCTTACTGCTAGTCATTAAACCCTGGCTGAAGCTATGACGACAGCTCTGGTTATCTGCTGGGTGGGGACGGGAAGGAGTGTGGCCTCCTTGGGGCCCCAGGAAGGTTGGAATTTGGCCCCAGGCCCTGCACCTGATTTAGCACCTCCAGTTTAAGTGGCCCTGACCAGAATACGGGCACGGGACCAGTTCTTCCAGGAAGGATGAGGAAGAGGTGGGCGAGTGGGGACAGGAACAGGCCTATCCACAAGCAGTAAAAAGGAACAGGAAAGAGTCAGGCAAGAACGGGCTGGTGATGGGGCTTTCATGAGAAAGATGGTGAAGAAATGTTATTCTTGGGAGGAGAGAGACTTGACAAACAGAATCTGGGAGGTGGTTCTAACACACCTCTCTCCATGTGGAAAGCAGAGATCTGTGTGAGGAGGAGGCAACGACAGCCAAGAAATTAGGAAGTAGACTGGAGCTTTATGCAGCGTGGAGCCCACCCCCTCTTCTTGCCTCGCCGCTGCCCATTACCTGCTGACAAAGTCCACCAGTCCACGAAGGGCAGTTTCACCAGCTTCGGCCCTTCGATGCAGAGTCTCTGCTAGCTCATTCAAGTGCAGTGCCTCTGCCTGCAGCATCTGGAAGGGAGGAGAAAGCGTCAGAGCAAATGCTACCTTCTGAACAAGACAGACCCCAAAATCACAGACTTGCCTATTTATTTGAATTTTTTATTTATTTAAAGTTTTTATATGCTGTCCCCTTGCTACATAGCCTCGGGACGGCTCACAGAAATAAAAATTATGAACTCCCCTGCAGAATCACTCAAATGAAAAATGCTTAATCCTGCACCAGAAAGCAGCTTCAGAAAGGGAAAAAAGACTCCTCAGTCTAACCTTATTAGGGGGATTTCTGGGTTCACAGATGGGACTGACACTCTCTATCTAATGCAGGGCACCTCATGAGGGTTATTCTGTCTTGCTGAAGGGATTTCAGGTGTGGGGTCTACGAAAAGTGATTACCTTGTTTCTCACTCGTTCCACATTTACTTCGGCAGTCTTGTCATCCAGGCTGTGGAGCAAAAGCGCCACCTTCTGTTCTCTGGACTCCATGTCTTCTTCCAGCTGTTTTACCTACAGACAGAAAAGTAAGGTTTGCTGTAAACACTGCTGAAGATTTGTATAACGCTTTCCAGTTCTTGAAGTGCTTCATGTACATTATTTGCAAATAATCCTTATAGGCACCCTGTAAAATGAGTCTGTATTATCTTTTGCATTGCAGAGCCGGCTGGGAGAGAAGCTGAGAGAACAGCTTGCTTAACTTGCTGAGCGAGTGTGTGGCAGGGTCAAGATCTGAACCGACTTCTCAATTCAAGACTCAACCACTTAGCCATTGCACCAGGTCCAATCCTTGTATCCCTCCAGTCCCATCCTCATATTAACCCTTGGACCCCACAACCTTCCAATGGAGAAATGCAGAGTCAGTGCTTTTGCCTTTCCATCCAACTAGATCAGTAGTGATGAATCTGTGGCCCTTCAGAATTGGACTACAAAACACATAATCATGGAGTGCTGGCTGCACTGGCTGAGGTTGCTGCGAACTGTAACCCAACCACATCCGGATGACTGGTTCCCTGCCCCTAACCAGACCCTTTCACAGAGAGCATCCCCAAAGCATGTGCGCGCACACAGTTCTATTCCGAGGGAATCCAGATCTCCTAACTTCATCCCCTTTCTTCACTCTTCCTTCTGGAGAATCCAGGAATCTGGAATCACCGTTTTCAGACTCTACCTGGGGTATGCAAACATGGGAAAAGATCTGTAAGCCACCCAGAAAAATATTTTTATGGGTTGCCATATGCATTCTGCAAGCTAAACCAAGAATCAGTAACATCCTATGGGATTAAGGAATTTCAATCTCAGAAAACCCAGGGGTTTCAGCTTTCTGACCCTATTCAAGCACATACCTTTCTTTCCAGCAGTTTGGAGGCATCCCTGTGGTGAATCTCCTGGGATTTCAGCTGTACCAGGAGAGAAAAGACTTTCTCCCGCCAGCGGGTCAAGAGGCACTGAAGTTTTTGAGATGACTCAGGCTGAAGAGGGTCTTGCAGTTGCACCTGAGAGTAAAACACAAAACCCGACCTGTGAGAGGCAGTCTCTGTTCCCCTTACAGTTCCAATGGAAATGACTGGAGAGCGGAGGAAGACCAGACGTGTGACTTGTGAGACACAACAAAGACTGAAGGCTAGTTTTGTGCAAATGTTTTGTGCAAACCTTGCCAGGACCATGTTGCTTCTGATTGCAGGAGAGGGCTCACAGGACAGAATGTTCTCTCATGGGAAAAATCTTCCTGCCATAGAAAACGAACTGGTCAGGGAGAAAGCTAGGCTGCGGGCATATTAGTTTTGCACGTGAGGGCTTTTTTCCAAGTGTGTGTCGTGTAGGAGCATTCCAACATCTCAGCCTTCGCTTGCTGCCTGAAGTGACACAGTCAAAATGCAAGTTTACCCTCTCATTTGCTTGTGCAAGATAGGCTTGAGGCTAAGTGTAGCCTTCATGTGTGGACTTGTACAACCTCTACTCTAGGGAACCACTTGGGAATATGCTACAGTTAGTAGCATAACTGTAACTGAAGAGTTATTTTCTGCTGTTATTCCCCAAACAAAGGAAGGATAAAAAAGTGATCAAAGATTATAAGGGAAAGGCCTCCAAGGAGCATTAAGAAACTTGTGAGATCTTGATAATGCTCTCTTGGTGTCTCTGGGTGGCCTCTGCCCTCAGCAGTCTAGCCACTGCCGGGAGGATGAGATACACGCTAGGAAGCAAGCTGACTATAGAGTGTGGCAGCCAGAGTGACTTTCCAAAGTATTCTGCACCTTTCCAGCCAACTGTGCTCACTGGTTGGACTTCCAAATGTGCATGTGCACCCACCTACCAGTTCCCTCTCACCAATGAGACTAAAAGAGCAAGTGAGCATGAAAGAGAGATCTTCAAGTTGCCATTGCAAGGAGAACTGGAGAAAAAGAATCCTCGAGACAGGTAGCTACAAATACATGTGAAGTATGAGATGCCTTGGAATCGCACAAAACTTCCAAGCACAGAGAGAAAGCAAATGTGTAAAAGAAACTAGGATGGCAGAAAAAAAAATGCACCCATACATACACAGAAAGTACTGAAAACATTCTCCAAAAAGGCATGGCAACTTCTCAAAATGATTATTATGACCTCACCAATGTGCACCACCAGCACCAGGTCCGAACGATCGCCCTTTAGGATTTAGGAATGCAACCCTAAATGGAAAGAACTCCGACAAAGAATCTTATCTTTGCTAGCTTGTTATAATCTATTGTCTGGACACTAGTAGCCTTGCTGGTTCCACTGATTTATATCCTCGGCAAACAGCACACCCCTTGGGTGCTTGAAATGCAATTACCTTCTTGCTGAGCTCTGTCTCCTGTAGGGTCAGGATATCACTGAGGGACGTGAGACGAATTTGCAGTAGTTCAGCGGTAATTTTCAAGGCATCCTTCTCATCTTCCAGTTGCTGAAACCAGAGGGAAATGGAGTTGCTGCCTACCAAAGGAAAGACAGGGAACTGCAGCACACCCATTCGCCCACGCAGAGGAGAGAGTCCTGCTATTTGACTGTGTGCATCCTTTTCTTTCCAACTCTCACCTGCGCTCTGCTTATCAACTGCTCCCGCTCAGAGCTGGGCTGCCCCAGTTCCTGCTCCCCGACGTAGGTCTTCAGCTGCAGCACCAAAGTATTCTGCAAAGCCAGCTCTGCCTCAGCTGTGCTGGAGGAGAGAAACCAGGAGGCTGCCTTTGGCACGGTTTGAGGAGAAACACCATCTGATTTGGGGGGTTATAGAAGGAATGAAAGAGAGGAGTCTGGAGGGATGGATCATACCTGAGCTGCTTCTGGAGAGCATCTTTCTTCCCCCTCAATTCGAAAACCTCCCTATGCTGAGCTTTCAGTTCTTCTTGGAGCACACAGAGCTGTTGCTTCAGGGAATTCACTTCGGCCTGATGGACTTCAGAGAGCCTATGTAACTGTGGGAGGAGAGAGACGGACTGGACTCTCAGCCCGCAGTCTTTTTATGATGCTCTGGATCATACCACACCCCTGGTGATCCTCAGGACAGTTTTATCATACAGTTTTATTTTTATTCTATTTTATGAGCACATTGTGTTTATGAGTGTTTTATGAATTGTATTTTACAATTTTTAACATTGCAAACCATCCAGAGAGCCTGCGGGCTATAGGGTGGTATACAAATGTGAAAAACAAACAAACCTTGCACACCAGAGATCTTTTCCCCGCTGCACGTCTTTCTTCTGAAGAAATTTGTCTCCCAGAGTGCTTCTCTTCTGGCACTTACCTCTGCCTGGTGCTCCTTGAGTGCCACCTGTTGGCTCTCCTGAGCCCGCTCTTCCTGCCGCTTCCGCTCAGCACCTGCCTTGTCAAGCACTGCCTGCAGCTCTTCCCGTGCCAGTTTAACTTCCTGGCTATGCCTGGCCTTGGTCAGCTCAAGTTCCTCCTTCAGGGTATCGGCCTCCAACTGACTCCTCCTCCTCAGCTCCCCCAGCTCTTCCTTCAGAGTCTCAGTCTCCAGTCTGCTGCTCTTCCTGACTGCCTCCAGCTCTGTTTTCAAGGCAGCAGCCTCTGCCCAACTCCGGCTCTGGAGCTCTGCCAGTTCTCCTTGGATGTGGGAGAGGGTATTTTCCCGACTCGCCACTGCTGCCTCCTGCTGGGTCGAGGCAACCCGGAGGGCAGCAAGCTCAGCTTCCAGTCGCTGGATCTCATGGAGTTGATGGGAGATGATCTCAGCCTGTTGAGACATGGCCAAGGCGTGGCACACATTTGAGGGCTCTGCATCTCGATCCAGGGACCTGGGAGGAAAGGGGAGAGAAAGAAGTTGGAAAGTCCTCCCATCTCCAGGGGGCGCCATTCTAAAACCTGCTTCTGCTAGAGCCCAGGCAGTGGATTTCAGGGTGTTTCCCTTTCAAAAGTCACTGACCAAGATGCTGACCAGTGGGCTGGTCACTAACTGGTACAGGAGAGGTGGGGAATGGGTGGACTTCCTGCTGTTGGACGGCATCATTCACCTGGTTCTGTTTCTTGCTTCTTCAGTGGGATCTCCCTTTGTGGCCAGCCTATGGAGCTCATCCTTCAGTCGCTGGTTCTCTTGCTTGAGTGTGGCTGCCTCCAAGTGAGGAAGAGCTGCGGCACTCCAGGGCACCACCGCAGGTCCTGGCAGAGGAGGTGCTGACCAGCTCTGGAAATGTGAAGGTGGGATCAGTTTCCTGGGTCCTGAGAAAGACACAACAACAGAGAACAACAACTAGGTGCTTGCAGCACAATATAGGAGTTTGAGGACTGGGAATGTAGAGAATTGCCACTGGGAAAAGACAACTCGGAAGAAAGAGGTGATACTACAGATTCACCATACTGTTGGGGTGTTCATACTGTCAGGATCATACTCACAGCAAATCATACTGTGAGGCCACATCAAAGAAATCAAAAGTCAGACTCAGCACCCAAATGCAGACCAGCCTACAATCATTATTCCTGTGTGTGTGTGTGTGTGTATTTGGGATATGCATATCCAGGGATAATGGAATATGCATATCTAGGTCAGATGGACACCAAATAAGAAATCACTAGTGAGAAGTGGGGCATACAGGAGCATAGGTTATGCAGCAAGGTAACAAAAAAATTCTAATCCAAATCTTGATCACACATAGGGGAAGAACATAAGGACATCCATTATCAAATCTGTACATAGAGGAAGGGTAATGTTAAAAAACAAACAAACCAAACCAACCCATGCACAGGCACACAGTAAGTCCTGGAAGATGGCATCAACTTACACTAGGATTGCCAAGTGACCAGAAAAAAGAGATGTCTTGGCCTGCTCTTGTGCTGCAGAAATCCACAGGGGAGACTTTTCATTATGCAGAGGTAAATAAGATCTCCTGCCAATATTATCAGATGGGACTGCTTTTAGAGGCATAGCCACAAAGACCAGTTTAAAAAGCCAGCGGCCTTTCCTCATTCTAAAATGGACACCATTCCCAGCCAGCTTGATGAGAATTGTAGTGTAACACATTTGGATGGCTGGTTTAAAACCTGGCAAGTTAATAAGTCCTGGTTAATAACCTAGCAGTTGTTTTTTTATCAACTGCAGTTCATGAGAAATCTTTAAACATAGCCTCACTGTAACATAATGTTATTCTAAAAAGTGCCAGGGCTTGGATAACTGTGGCTACATGATCTTGAATCATATATACCTAGCTTTCCAAGTAAGCAAAAAACAAATATTAATAAATCAGCACATATAGGAGTGTGACAGTACATTTGATTCCCCTCCCCCACCATTTTTTACCAGTTGGCCTTGGGGCCGTGAAAGCAGCAGGAGGCTCTAGCTGTCTGTCCGAATCTTTCCTTCTGTCCATGGTCCCAAGTCACAATCCTTCAAAATACATAGTAAATATTTATCTAATTCTACTGGACTGCATTCAAACTTGCATCCCCTTCCTTGTTCTCAAACAGCAGGCCCGTAGCATTCTACATGACAACGAAAGAAAACAGGGTTTTTGCCTGTCTCAGACGTCCAACAGTAGTTGTGGGCAACTGGACTGCAACTTCTATCAGCCTTAGTCATCATCACTGGTGATGACAGATAATGGGAGGAGCAGTCAAACAACATCTCAAGGGCCACAGGTTGTGCATCCATGCCCTGTAGTAATAATGCAGTGACTGTGAGTCAGTACATAAAAAGACATCTGAGGAATGAAATAAAAATAATCCCTACAATACTGTACTCTGTTTTCGATTGCTTAGTGTCATCCAAGGGGCCACTCTTGGTTGCAGAAAGGGCATCTTCCAGCCTGCAAGCCCGATCTGGTTTGCAGTGGGGCCAGTTCTGGACTGCAGGGAGTCCAGCACTGGCTGGGATCTTGCTGCTGGATGAGAAGAATCGCCATGCTATCTGGCATTTGGGAACTCAAGGGGATTCACTTTTGCACCACACATCCTCTACCAGAGGGCAAGCAGAACAAACCCAAATCAGGCCAGAAATTGGAGATAAGCTTGGGGTTTTCATGCAAGCTCTGGCTGAGTCCCAACTGAGAACTAAGCACCACGGCAAACAGTCCAGCTCAGCTGCAGCAATTTAGAGCTCACTCCATCCTATTCAGTATGTGCAGAATAGTGAACAACTTCTCTTGAGCAGAAAGAGCCAAAGCGAGGAAGCCAAGTGCATCTTTAGGTTTTTCTGACTTCCACACCAGAAAGTTCTGGGATATGCAATGGGACCCATTCCCTCCCAATGGAAGCTGTGGATTTCTTCCTCACCACTGCTTGATTCTTCTGTCAGTGAATAACCCTTCATTTTATATTCCTGCTGCATGGCTCAAGCTTCCCTTCACTGGTGAGGCATGGTCAGTCCTTCAAACCCTGTTCTTTCATGAAAGAAAGCCGGCATCCGTAGTACCCCATTACCTAACCTAGGATGGCCATCTTTCCCCCCTTCAGGGCTCCTGGCCATTTCACAGCTTGCATGGTATGAGGAAAGCAAGCAGGTTAATCTTTTTCTAACACGTCTCCTTTGGGGCCTCTTCTGCTTGCCATGCAACTGTTAGAAGCACGCCAGGGGAGAAAGGTGGCCACCCTTATACGCAAGCCCGGCCCCACTGACCAGTTCAACGTCTGGCTGCTCCCTGGAGCCCCCCGCCCGCTGCCCTCATAGGTTGGCTGCTGGAACCCCACTTTCCCTCGTTGGTCGCTCCCCAGATCCCCCTACTTCTCAGTGGTTTGCTCCCAGGACCCACCTTGCCCTCATTCAACCCACTCCCCCCAAACTCGACCAGAGGCCGCTAACGTTCCATCAACCGACCGGGATCCAAATTGCCCATGCGCACGACGCGATTTTCCCAAGCATTGAAAAAGGGCCGCTGTTCCCGAAGGAGGAGGGCGCTAACCACGTCTCTCAAGCGAGCGCTGCACCAATCCGAAGGGAAAGCGTTAAGACACAGCGCGAAAAAAACCCTGAAGTGAAAGTGAGTTGACCACGCCCCTTGATAGCTCATCCAATCAGACACTGCTATAGTTTAGGGCTAACGCGATGTTTGCTGAACGTTCCTCTGGGTTTAGAAGCGACCGCTCCCCCGCTCCTCACGAGCTCCTTCCCTGGTAACGGATCGGCGCGCGCGACGCAGTAGAGCGCGCGCTCTTTGGCAATCAGCCGACCGTAGAGCTGCTCGAATGTCTCCAGAGCTGTTACGAGACTTCCGAAAGTGCTTTATCGGTCTCGAATCGTGCATGTTCGGACCTTTCTCTGCTTGGCTAGTTCATGGCGTTCAGGGGCTGGGCGTTTTGGGTTTTTTGCTACTCCGCAAATCCTCTTTCTGGAATGCGCCCAGCCAGTTCCTTGTCTCTGTTAACGTCATTCTTTTAAGTGTTGCAGTTCTGTCCCAATGAGCATCGGTTGTTAATGTGTTTTTATTTCTGCCTGAAACTGTGTGTGTTTTAACAGGCGAGTTTTGTCCTATACCTGCATCTTTGGCCAACACTTCCTGCATACGGTGGATTTTTTAAAACCATGGGAGGACTGCCCTTCCCATCGGGGCAACCAATAGTAAGGCATGATGGAAGATATTTCCAGCGATATTTTGGGGGTTGCCAGTTCCCCCGACTGCTATAAGCAGAAGTACCATGCCTGAAGAGTCGGGAATAGCTGTGCTGCTCTGGACATGACGTCACAAATACAGGGCCATCCTGGCTCAGTCGTCAGAGTTGACTATAATTCAAGAGTGCAGACCTGTTCGGGAATGGAGGGCTGCATCGCCCTGCACCCTGCAAGCTGGATGATGTCATGGAATGTGATCCTGTTCTCTTAGCATCACCCTCCCTTTTTTAAACATCCAGGGATTGGGGTTTGCCTGTGTGTGGGGAACAGAGTCCCCCAGTTCCTGTTTGGAGCCGATACCCACCAACCCATTCACTGGTACGGGATATCGCTGCTGTTCTATGAGAGGGGAGATAACAGCAGGAGTTCAACTGCTGGTGTGCAGGCATCTCTGGTTATTTGCACTCTCGGATTGGAGCAATGGGGCTACCTTCTAGGGTGCTTCCTCATGGGAGGAGGCATATCTTGGAATGTAACCCTCTGGAAGAACTCTGAGAGGAAGTGTGAGCCCCACTGGCTGAGCTTTGTATCCCTGCCTTACATGTTCTGCTTACACAATACTGGAGCCAGTGGAATTTGACCATATAGGAGTTCCAGCGAGCATAAAGCTTGGGAGGGGAGCTTAACCGACCCTTTGGGGGGATCCAGATATGACACAGTTTGGCACCTCATGTCCCTGAAGGCAGGTAAGCATAGAAGCATCGTCAGGGTGAGCAAGTGAAGACTAGAAGAAAAGCCCTGCTGGATCAGACGACTGGCCCGTGGAGCTCAGCATGCTGTGCACACAGTGGCCAGCCAGCTGCCCACAGGATCCCACAGCAAGAGGCGGGGGCAAAAGCAACCTCCTGTGCTGCTCGTTCAGCGTTTGGTATATTTAGGCACCCTGCCTCTACAGCCAGAGATGGTACATGGCCATCAAATCCAGTAGCCATTGGTAGCCTTCTCCTCCGTGAGCTTGTCCAATCCCACTTTAAACCAACCCAAGTTGATAGCCGTGTGCAAGTGAATTCCATAACTTGATTATGTGCTATACAAAGATTCTGACCTGTCCTTAATTTCCCACCAATCAGCTTCATGGCATAATCCCAGTTCTACTGGAATGGGAACACAAGAAAATGTCTCCACACCACGCATAACCCCGTGTACCTCTGCCGTGTCTCTCCTTACTTTCCTTTTTTCCAAGTGAAACAATCACAGTTGTAGTTTTTCCTCATGGGGAGTTGCTCCAACCCCTTGATCCTTGAATAGTAGGACTTTTTCTATCTAAACACGTATAAGATTGTACCCTAAATCACCTTATACAAAAAGTGGTCTCACCCAATCCAGATGTTGCTCACATTGCGCAATATAAAACATTAATGAGTAGGATATGATTCTCTCCATATTGTGGGCAAAAAGGAGTGACATCTCAGTCTCTAGTTGGAAGAAACTACCTCAGTCAGAGGTGGACAGCTTGCGGCTCTCTGGCTGTTCTGGCTCGCAACCCTCGTCATCTCTCACTATTGGCTATGCTGGTGAGAGTTGATAGGAATTCTAGGCCAAAACTTCTGGAGGGGCTACAAGTTGCCCACCCTTGGTCCTGATAAAAGGTCTTCTGCAGGCAGGAAGCAAAGGCTTGGGCTTGTTTTGGGACTGGCTGGATGAGGCTCTCCAATCAGCTGCCCCAGCATTACTCCCTAATTTGAGCTGAAGATGGGAATGGGATTTTTTTCTGTCCTTGCTTGGCCCTCCCAAAAATCTGTACAGCTGGAGGGATGATTGCTGTTTGCTTTCTCTCCAGCTCCAAGAATGCTGGGCTCCTCTCATGCCCCTCACAAGAAGGCAATAAATTATGTTACCTGGCAAGGTGATGTGGTCAGCAGAAACATGGATGCCTAGATATACATGCAATACACAAGACAGACATGCTTGCTGCACTCAAAAGCCAGGCATCTCAGAGCATCAACATTTTCAACAGAGAGTCTCATGGTGTCTTCAAGCCTAACACATTTTATTATGGTAAAATTGTTCCTGGAGTGCCGCCCACTTTATCATGCATGGACTGTGGCTCTCAGTTGTCAGGAATATATATACCCACAGGTATAAAGTGGTGTGTATAGAAGGGAGGGGGAGAAATGTAAAGACTGGAGTGACATGGCAACAGAAGGTAAAAAGTACATCTTGTGACCATTCAGATACAGCAATATCAGAAATCACAGCCCAAAGTAGCAAAGCCGAGAGATTTTGCTTATGGCATGATATTGTCCTATCAAAAAACACACAAAAACTGCAGACAATGCAGTATTTAGGAGTAGCTTGCTTCAGAAATGTATAAAGACTGAGAAAACAGTTGCGGGACCAATTAAAATCAGTATGTTGGGGAGGCCCTGGAGGCATTAGTAATCCACAGGCGCTCGCTCTCCTTCTTTAGCTCTCAGAGATTTCAGTGCACTGTTTATTTCCAGAACTAAAGCCTGGATTTCCTTATCGGCACGGAATGCCTCTCCCCCCTTCCCTCCCATCACTTCTGCAATTTCTTCTAAGACACCCATCAAGGATTCAGGGACACAGGCATGGCTGGACATGACGGCAGCTGCATGAACCTTGCCTGCCAATAGATCCAGCAGCGAAAGGCATTTCCTGATGGAGGATTGCTGCATTGCTACCTGCTTCTGGAAAGCAAGCAGCTCATCGCACTGGGATTGAACCCGGGGGATCCTCTCTTCTGTGGAGCTTATCCCAGCCTGCACCTTCTGCTCTTCTTGGGAGAAGTGTACGATCTCGTCGCCATAGCCAGCCACTTCTGCTATGCTCCGGTCCAGGGTCTGCTGGGCCTCCGCCACAAGCTTCTCAGCTGAGTCCAGCGCTGCCTGGTAACCCACAATCATGCCAGCCCCTAGAAGGAAAGACAAATGAGTGAAGGCAAGTCCAAACCACCAGAGGACATTGAGGGAATGGTACGCCTGATATTCTCTGGCATGGGTGGTGCCCCTTCGGTACATTGGACTGTGATCCACATCATTCCCAGTCCAACATACCAGGAGGATGCCAGGTTGGAGGAGGCTGTTCGAAAGGGTGACATACTAGAGTAGGCTGGTCTTGTAGGGATGACCTTGTCCAGGACTGTCTTGCTCTAGAGAAACACTAACCTACCAATGAGAAACCCAAGTCCTGGCAGCGCCATCATCCATGTGCCAATTTCCCGTCCTCTGTGGTTCTTGGCCACTTTCTCATGAGCCAATCTCAGCTGCTCCCTTGTGGTCTCCAGATGTGATTCTGCAGCTTCCAGCATCCCTTGGGATTTCTTCTTGGCTTCTCTGAGGGCAACGATCTGGCTCCTCAGGTCCACCAAATTCCCCTTCCTGTCCTGCAGATCATCTTGCATAACTTTCTTCATGTTGATGAAGGCTTCCAGCTGGGAATCAATTAGTACCAGGCGGGATTCTAGGTCCTGTTCTGCCTCAGAAAAATGCTGGAATGCTTTGTGGACGTAAATGTGTTTTTTAGCGCACGTCTCCTCATTGTGTGGCCGTGGGAGGAGCATCAACCCAGCTAAGAACATGAGCTCTTGCATTCCTGCTTCCACCTGTTCCTTGATGGATGAACTATAATTCACATCTTGCAAGAGGGCCATAGTGAATGGTGATGGATTAGGAGCTGGAAGGAGAAACAGAAGGGTGAAAGTGCATGAAAATTAAGTGCACTGTTATGGCAAGCTTTGAGTCCTGATGGCTTTTCACATCTTATGTTGAGGGAGAAATGTGCATGCTATATCTAGAGAACTGATACAGTGTAATGACTGAGAGAGGAGTGGTAAGAAAGCAATGCAGAATCTACTAGTAAGCCTATGGGCCATCTGTGGTAAATCGGTAAGGCTTTCCAAATGTTTAGCAATGGCAACACAAAATGACACACACCTGCCTGCTGCCCTAAATTACAATGCTGGAATGAAGAAGTGGATTTTTGTGTGAAATGAGGGGAGGGAGGTTGCTAGGTCCCAAAAAGGTCTAGGGTTCAGGTCAC